CATATTGGATTGGGGCTGACCCTATAAATGACCTCATTTTAACTTTATTAGCTGCAAAAATCCTGTTTCCAAACATGGTCACATTCTGAGGCACTAGGGGTTAGAACTTCAACATATAAACTCTGAGGGACACAATTGAACCCATAACAATGACTATTATAACAATTCCACGTATTTATATACAGTCTTCAGCTTTAGATGACTTATTTTATAATTGTCAAAGCTTAAGCATTATCTGTGATGTAAAAGGTAGTATAATATTATTCCTTATGCTTTATCATGAACTACAACCAGATTCTTTTCTTCAGTTTAAGTCTAGTTTTATAATTACTGATCTTTGCTACCTCTTTCCAGTAACAAGTTGTAATTATTCAGGGGACATTTTGGGCAAGTGTTTAAAGAAAATTGCTCTTACTCACTGAGTTTTTCCCCTCAATTTTGATTTATGAACTTTGGTGTGTATGTATGTACTGCATACATGCCATCTATATATTCGTACATACATATGTTCAATTATTGAAAACTACCGCAGACTCTAATCCTGTTTTTGCTTTTCAAACTCATGCTTATGAATTTGAAATGTTATCAGTGCTCCTGGCCTATCATAATCCTATTCTTTTAGAAACCATTTTCTCAGCATTTTAGGTTCTAGGGATTTATTATTGGTGTGTTTGCCTCTCACATTATAAATTACCAAATGTTTTCTCATGAATAGAAATAAAGAAGGGAAGAATGAATGCAAGACTCCAGAGGTTGCCCATAAAAATTAGCCTGCTTTAATCTCTGTCTGCAAAATGCCCCAGTAGATACATTTTTGAGAATTTACCAGAGGCAAGAGGATGTTTATTTCTTTAGGGACTCTGTTATTGGAACTTGCTCCCTGGTGCCTCAGCTGCAGCTCTTATCCAATATCTTCTGCAGGCCTGGGGCTTATGACACAGGGTCATTGGAAGAATAGAATATCATTTCTTGTATATAATAGCAAGTGGGAATTTGGGGGTTGGTGCTAGGTGTGGAAAGGTGATTAATTTGGCCACTTGATGCAAAGAGCCAACTCATTGGAGAAGACCCTGATGCTGGGAAAGACTGAAGGCAAAAGGAAAAGGGGGCAACAGAGGATGAGATGGTTGGATGGCATCACTGACTCAACAGACATGAATTTGCTCAGAATCTGGGAGATAGTGAAGGACGGAGGAGCCTGCCTTGCTACAGTCCATGGGGTCCAAAGAGTCAGACATGATTTAGTGCCTGAACAACAATAACTGAGGCTGCACAGCTCATGATTTACTGAAGCAACAGTACAATTCAGGAACAGCTCTAGGATGAAAATCAATCAATCATTGCTGACCTCCCCCCGCCCCCCCCAGATAGAATGCCAGGTGCACAGCTCATGATTTACTGAAGCAACAGTACAATTCAGGAACAGCTCTAGGATGAAAATCAATCAATCATTGCTGACCTCCCCCCGCCCCCCCCCGCCCCCAGATAGAATGCCAGGCCTTGAATCATCCTGCCACGAACATAAACAAAATCACACATTCAATGGAAGTGTCCTGTCCTTTCTAACTGCAGGCACCATAACCTTTTCAAACCCAGTCTTCTTAATCATGGTAGTCATTTTAAAAGTATTTTAACTCATAAAACATTCAAACAAATAATAGGATTTTCTTATATACATATTGTTGCAGGTGTTCATTGGGAAGTGAGTCCTGTTAATTAAGCACACAACCTCCGAGGGGGGAAGGACAGATGGAAGATCAGACACACAGATGCATTTCCATCACAAGTAGAACTCCGCTGTCCTGCTCATTCTGAATCTCGCCTTTTTTGTTTAACAATGTATTACAGATCATTCCATGAAAAGATGGACCTTGCTTTTTTTTTTAAGTTACCTGTATCCTATTGAATATGGGATTTGTCCTGTGCATATAGTGGACTTACTATCATTTATTTAACCAGCCCCCACCCCCCCACTATTTCCCAAAGGCAAATCATGCTGAGCTAGTTATCCTTCATCAGATTTTTTTGGTTCTCTTGTGAAATTGTTGACTTAAAAGATAGGTGCATTTAATTTTTTTTCTCCAGTGTAACTGATTTGTTGTTATTCATTTATTGACCTTTTTTTCTGTTTTATTCCATGTATGCAATCTATATCATCAACTTATTGTTTAGATTTACTATAGTTAAAGATACCGATATTAGTATTAATATATGAAAAGCACATTTTTCCCATATAAAACAGTACTTGTTAAAGAAGAGTACATAGTGAGCATTTTTTGTTACTTTCATTTGAGTGCAATGTGCTGTATTTCTAGTTAAGAAACAGTAAGAATAGTTCTCAGATTCCCCTAGCTCCACATATATCCATGTGTGTGCATGTGTGTGTATATATATAAAACAGTGTAGTGGTGAGGTTTTTATTTTGTCAACATACATCTTCATCATCATTATACAGAGTTTCAAAATCTAAATATGAACTTTCCTTCTACAAACACATCTAAATTTATCCTCTGAGATATTTTCCCTGTCATGTTATTTTGCAGATTTTCTTTCCATTTTTGGTAAAAACTTTATTGAGATATAATTCACACGCCATACAGCTCCCCCGTTTGAAAACAATTCAGTGGTTCTTCGTATATTCACGGAGTTATGCAGCTGTAACTATAATCTGTTTTAGGACATTTTCATGACCCCAGAAGGAAACTCCAAACTCTTTAGCTGTCACCCTTCCCAAGCTCCCATCCCTAGGATTTCAATTTTGAAAAATATTTGAACCTGCAAAGCAGCTCCTCAGTTTATACCCCCACTGTTGCTCCATCAAAGGCCAGTTTTCTCCTACCTTCCCTGTATTATCAGAATATTTCATCTCGATCAACCTTGTAGGTAAAAAAAACTCTTGCTTCGATCTGCATGTATTGAATCATGAATGGTGCCGACCATCTGTTCTCGTATTTGTAGACTGTGCTTCATCTCTGCACTGCCTTGTGGACCTGTTGTAAATACAGACATTGTTGTCACTGCCTTATTTTGATCCCATTCACCGCGGCAGGGTGCATGGGGCAAAGACTGTGAAGTTAGTTCACCTGAATTACAGAAACAAGAGCACCCGCCAAAGAGACCCCATGCACGCAGACACCTACCCTGGAGCTCATTGCTCAGGGCTCACCAGTAGTTACCGTGTGTCTCCTGTCTGTCCCGTCCTTTTCTGTTGGAGGACCCTTCACCTTCCCCCAGTGTAGGTGAAATGATTGCTGTTTGTGTGGAGGTGGGGAGGAGAGATGGACTGGGAGTTTGGAATTAGCAGATGCAAACTATTACGTATAAAATGGGATAAACAACAAGGCCCTATTGTATAGCACAGGGAACGATATTCACTATCCTGTGATAAACTGTAATGGAAAAGAATTTTAAAAGAATGTATATATGAGTAAATAATTGCTCCTCTCTTGGCCTCAGTTTGACTGTGTCTCATTCCATCGAGCACTGTTTTTAATGGACAGCCCATGGTTGTTGTTCTGTTAAAGCCCAGTCACTCCAGGATAAACCTGTCTTTGCGTGTACATCTCTTCCCTAGTCTGTGGATCCTGGTTGTTTCTTTCACTAACTAGGGTCCCTGGTGAAATTCTAACAACTTGCCCAGGTTGGGGGATCTTTGGGGAAAAGTGGAGCTCTGTTCAGACCCCTGGGCATAGGGGATTCCTCACCACTGCCTCCAAGCCTGAGCCACTGTGGCCTTCAGTTCCTGGTAGGTTCTGGCTGTTTCTATGAGGTCCATAACCTCCCTCTTCCATGATCTCACTGCCAGGGACCAGAAAACCTCAGCTCACTTCTGCCATTTCTGCTGTATTTATTAGCGAGCGAGCGAAATGCCCTCTTGCTACTGGTGGTGGAAAGCCCAGTACACACTCAGCCATCATCCCGACATGTATTTTTGTTGTTATTGTGCAGTCCACAGGGGAGAAAAAAGTCGTCTGTGTAATAATGTCCTTGTGCGTATTAATACTTGCAGCTTTCCTCTGTGATTTTTTTAAATACAAAACTGGTTTTTAAAAACCTTAAGAGTAATTATAGCAATTGCTTAAACTCTGGACCAACCAAAGACTTTTGAGAAGTATTTTTTTTATCAGCATTCTTTAGAATTGCTGGCACTGGTGGTAGTAAGAAGCAGAGGGCTTTTCTGGTCAGCCTGGTTATTGCTTTTAAATTCTCTACAGACAGTATATCCTTTTATTGCCTACACCTGAGGTAGGCAGCACTCACCACGTTGCTCTCAATACACCAGAGGATCCTAACTTTCTCAGATTGTGTATCAGAATCCTCCATCAAACGATGGGACCCAGGACACGGGGCCAACTGAAGTTCTGCACCAGGAAGGCCCTTTGGGACAGCGTTATGCTCCTGGGCTGGGCCGTATTCTTACACACTGTGCTCACAGAGCAAGATCCAGCCTGTCCACCACTCATTTCATCAGGGAAGTAGTGTCCTTAGACATCTCCTGCCTTTGCAGCTCATACTCCACACACTGTGTGACCTTGGGCCATAACAGGAGCTCCCTGGGCTCAGGTTCACCCCAACATCCAGGGTCTGTGTTGAGACTCAGATGCTGTAGGTGGGAAAGCATCTTGTGTGCATGCGTGTGTGCTAAGTCGCTTCAGTCGTGTCTGACTCTTTGAGGCCCCATGAACTGTAGCCCGCCAGGCTCCTCTGTCCATGGGATTCTCCAGGCAAGAATACTGAAGTGGGTTGCCATGTCCTCCTCCAGGGGATCTTCCTGACCGAGGGATGGAACCTGTGTCTCCTGAAACTCCTGCTTTGCAGGCAGAATCTTTACCACTGAGCCACCGGGGAAGCATCTTACGAACCATGAAGCTCTGCAGAAGGAAGGGCATCTTGCCCTGGTCCTTCCACCCACACCTTGATGTAGCATGGGGGTTGCAGACTCGAGGCTCTGGGCACATCCTGGCGGGTTTGTGACCGTGCACTCTCCTGTCCCCGCACAGCTTTCCATGCGGCCAAGTGTGAGAAGCTGCAGCGGGAGAAGGCGGAGTTGGAGCGGCGCTGTGAGGCAGAGGTGCGGAACCTGGGCTGGCAGCAGGAGGCCGAGCTGCGGGACCTGGAGCGGCGGCTGCAGCTGCAGTTTGAAACCGAGGTGGCCCGGCTCCAGGAGGAGCACCATGCGCAGCTGCTGCGGATCGGGTGTCAGCACCAGGAGCAGGTGAGTCCGCCCAGCCCGCCCTGCCCTGGGGAGCCGCGGGCTGGAGGCAGAGGGGAGCAGGCTGCCTTAGCCCGGAGCCCTGCCACAGGTGAGCTCCCCGGTCCCCACCCTCCTGCCTTGGCTCTGTCCCGTGTCCCCTCCCCATCATCCCCTCCAGCCTCCTCCCTTGTCCTCCCAGACACACTCCCACCTCTGGGCTTCTGTGCTGGGCTGTGCCCACTGCCTGGTAAGCTTCCCTGGTGACTCAGTAGGTAAAGAGACTGCCTGCAATGCAACGAGACTTGGGTTGGATCCCTGAGTCGGGAAGATCCCTTGGAGGAGGACATGGCAGCCCACTCCAGGATCCTTACCTGGAGAATCCCGTAGACAGAGGAGCCTGTCGGGCTATAGTCCTTGGGGTCACAAAGAGTCAGACACGACTGAGCGACTGAACCAACACGCCAATGCCTGGAGTGCTCTCTCTCCAGACATGCCATGGCTCCCTCGCTCCCTCCCTGCTAGACTTTTCTCACTGAGGCTTTTCCTCACCCAGAATTACAGCTCCTTCCCCCTACATGCACACTCCTATCCTCTCTGCTTTAATTTTTCCTGGGCACTTATTACTACCTAATGTGTGATTAACTTGACTTTGTACCCTGTTGATCTTCTGCATAGCCCATGAGGGCAGTGGAAATAACAGACACATATGTATCTAGCACATGCTGAGGGTTGTGCTCTGCTCCTTCCTCTTTTCATGGACTAACTCATTTAACCCCTATAGTAACCCTACCAGGGAGGAACCGTTATCATCCCCATTTTTACAGGTAAGAAAACTGAGACCCGGAGGTTAAATACTTTGCTGGAATTCATGCTTATGGAAGAGCCAGTGTTGGACCCAGTCTGAACCCAGGGTCCGTGCCCTCAAGCCCTGAACTAGGGTTTTCTGCTGGATTTACTGCGGAGTCTCTGGCTTGGCACTGCCTGCCTGCAGAGGGTAGGCCTGCAGTGTGTATTTGCCTGATGAAAGGAGAATTCAGCTCACTAACCTTAGCCTGGCAGTCTTCCCAGAGAGGGTCATTCATCCTAAAACAGCTGGGGAAGAATTCCCAGGGAGCCAGTCAGTGTGAAAGTGGGTGGGAGCCAGGCATGCCCGTCCCCACAGCTGGCTGCAGGGTCCATTACAGCATTGGCACCAGGGTGAGGTGAGCCCGCTCTGCCTCCATGAAACTCATCTGCTCCTTCCTTTTCTCTTCTTCCTAAGCCCCTAAGGCTCTGATGCCCTAGTGCCCACCTTCTAATTGGTGTATTGTTGCCCGGAGTCTGCTTCGCTATCCCTAAGATCAACTGGCACTCATGAAGAGCACTCTTCACATCTCAGGCTAATGCCAAGTGGCCCTTCACAGCCATGAACATTTGGGCTGCATCCCCAGTAGGTATCCCAGACAGCGATGGTCCCCAGAGGCTTGACAATCATAGGGGAGAAATATTAGAGTAATAATAAGTACTGTCATTGGAAAGAGCAGTCTCCGATTTGACAGCACTTTCATCTATTCAGCATCTCAGCATCTTCTCTTCAGCATTCTCCTTTTTTTAGAGGCTTGTGGAAACCGGACACACCTGCCTTTCTAAAGTGGTGTAGACTTAGAGGCCAGAAACAGATAGTGACAGGTAAGGTTACCTGCTAGGCTAAGATTAGAAATGGAACCTTCAGCATCTGCCCTCTTCAGCTCGCTCTGAGTAGACATTCACTCAGCTGCTGTCTATAGTCTTACCTGCTTCTTGACTCCCTGATGCAGGTCAGTCCTGGGGCAGATATCGGCTTGTCCTGTGTCCTATATCCTGGGGTAGTCAGGCCCAATTTTACACGGAGAATGTATGTATACCCATATTCACTGATTTTGGGTCCAAACGTTTGGTTGGTTGAGAGGATGCCAAGAGGTGGGAGGAAGGGCAGGAGGGGGTTCCCGGGCAGGAGGGGGTTCCCCGGCAGGAGGAGGAGCCTCTGAATGAAGGCTCACATGGGGGTGTCGTGTATGGGAAACCACGGAGCCAGGGCCCCTGCTGAATGGAGCCCGTCCACCAGCCGAAGGACCCCAGGCAGAAGCTTGCTAAGCTGGGCACCTCCTGGGGGATGTGGTCTCACCCACCTCTAAGCTGAGACCATAGACTTTAAAAGATTTCATTTTGTTGTTGTTGGTTAGTTGCTAAGTTGTGTCTGACCCTATGCGACCCCATGGGCTTTAGCCCGCCAGGCTCCTCTGTCTGTGGAATTCTCCAAGCAAGAATACTGGAATGGGTTGCCACTCCCTTCTCCAGGGGATCTTCCCGACCCAGGGATCAAACCCACGTCTCCTGCATTGGCAGGTGGATTCTTTACTACTAAACCACCCGGAAACCTAAAGATTTCATACTAGGAGAGATTGGAGGCCCTGACTTTTCCACTTGAGAGTGAGTTACATGAGCTACTTTTGTATATTTTTAAAGAGCTCTGTCTTATGATGGCTTTGAGTTCTGTTCTTCTGGATCCTTTCTAATAGCTAAAGTGATTCATTCATTTATTCATTCACCTATGTGAAGAATAGTTAGTGAATGCCCTCCATACACAAGGCCTCATGATACTGCAGAATATACCAGGATTTATAAAATGTGAACCTGCCTGCTCCATAGCCTCTGGTTATAGATCCAGGGAGCTTCTGAAGCACATGCTCCAGGAACTGTAATACTAGGTGAGAGATACAGCTGTTTTGTTCAGGAACTGAGAGTTCGCTTCCAGCTGGGAGGATGTGGGAAAGCTTTACGGTGGAGGTTGCATCTGCACACTTTGTATTTGAGCAGACCTTTCCTCTAGAAACCCCTGGAGGAGGGCATGACCACCCACTCCAGTATTCTTGCCTGGAGAATCCCATGGACAGAGGAGCCTGGTGGGGCTACAGTCTATGGGGTTGCAAAGAATTGGACACGACTGAGCCATTTTCTTTCACTTCCTCTAGAAACCCATTAGTTTGGGGATGAGGCCAGGGATGGATGGTTTAAATCTGTGAATTATTCAGACCCCTGAGTCTGCTTCTGTGGTTGAATGTTGCCTGTTATCCTGGCCTTCAACTTCTCTGGCAGGGAGCATGCGGCGACAAGGAGGAAGGTGAAATGCACACCATTTCCAGGTAGAGGAGATGCCCGGGTGTTTGGTCCAGGAGGGGACTTGGTGCCTGAGCACAGTGGGATCCGGAAGGAAGGTCTGTGGTTTCGGTGATCTGTGCAGACCCTCCACGTGCAGGTCTTCCTCGTGGGGTGGTCGATTCGCGATGCTGACCCACGCCTCCTGCTGTCTCTGTCCTTCTCCAGCCTTGAAACTCAAGTTTGCCACCCCAGCCTCTCCCGGTGCCCTGGTGTCCCGACCGTGCTGGGAGGCTGCTTCTGCTCTGGCCCAGGAGTTTTTTTTAAACTTACTTATTTTACTTTTGTCAGCACTGGGTCTTCGTTGCTTCGTGCAGGCTTTCTCTAATTGCCGTGAGCGGGGGCTAGTCTTTATTGCAGCGTGCGGGCTTCTCGCTGGGGCGGCTTCTCTTGTGGCAGAGCACGGGCTCTGGAGTGTGGCCTCAGTAGTTGTAGCTCACCGGCTTTGTTGCTCCGTGGCACGTGGGATCACCCTGGATCAGGGATGGAACCCGTGTCCCCTGCATCGGCAGGCGGATTCTAATCCCCTGGACCACCAGGGAAGCCCCTGACACTGGATTTTCAGAGGCTTTATTCCAGTCCTCCCTCGCTAAGGCAGGATGACCTCTGATGTTACCACAGGACCCCCCCTAGAAAAATCCAGCTGTCCATTCGCTGTGAGAGGCAGAGACCATGTCTCTGGTCACACGTGGGAATCCCTTGGGGGAGCTGCTGACGAAACACCCCTTCTCTCCACTCCTGGAATCGGAGTCACCGAGTAGGAGTCCCCGGGGCCCAGAGCTTCTGGTGTCAGGGGTCGAACTGGGCCTCATTCTTTGCCCTGCAGCCTAGTTAGGGCACAAGCATGGCTGTGGCTTGGCCTACTGCTTTTCTTATGTGCCTTTAAAGGTACCGTGGGACTCTTATTTTAAAAGTCTGATTATAGAGCTGTTTCATCAAATTGGTGCTCATTCTGGAGCTCACGGCGCATTAACAGAAGCCAGATTGCCCGAGCTTCCCCATCTCAAAGCACACGAGGCAGAGTTTTCACTGTAAACACAGATGCTTTTCCTTTTTGCTCCAAACTTACTCATCCACGGAGCCTGGTATTTAGTGATCTGAGTTGTGACCTTTGACCCCTGCTTCCAAGACCCTGTGGCAGTTTGCTTCACCTCCTGATCTGGCCCTGAAGCCCCTCGCTCAGGGCCCCCTGATGTCTGGACTCTGCGTTTTGAGCAGAGATGCCTTTTCAGAGGAGCCTAAGTGTTCATCCTCTGGGCTTATGTTTGCTTTGTCTCGTATCCAGGACACGCTTTCTCCCGTTTCCTAAAGAAATGATCCTTTTAGACTCAGGGCGGGCACAGCATCCTCATGCTTCTTCAGATCTACAGAGGCCACTTTGGCAGTCGTCTTGTGTCCTGATCTGACTCGTCCCGCACAGCAGGCGCAGTCACCATCAGCAGAAACCACACTTTCTAATCAAAGAGAATGAGGTCCCAAGGGGCCCTCCATCTTCCAGCGTGAGAGCCCCACCCATCACAGCACGGAGCCTCTGGATGCTGGGACCTGGCTGAACAGGAAAGATGGGGGCCTCTGGACACCTGCCCATCTGGCGGGCGGCAAAGGCAGCACCTGATGGGGGATACAGTCAGCCAGGGAGCTTGGGCAGGGCTGACCATCGGCTCCGAGCCGGTACCAGGGATGCTGTAGCAGGAATGCGGGATGAGAGGGATGGTGAGTCGCCTTGGTATCTGGAAAGGAGCATTGTTCAGAGGGCCCTGGAGAGAAAAGACAGGGGCGGCCCCCTCTGTCTCATCAGACAGAAATACATGTTGTGGGGGAGCAAATGGGAGTTTAATCTGGTTTTCTTTAGTGAGGAGATGTAAAGCCATGCTTCTTCATTCGAAGCCTCCCCTAATTGCATTTTGCAAGTGGCTGGATGAAGTAAGCCCACAGCTTCGTTCTTGACCGTCTAAGAGAAGAGGGTGGCTTCCCAGGCCTTTGCTTTGATGGGACTCAGCTAAACAGCAAGCAGCTGCGGAGACAGCCTGGCGCAGGGAGCAGCTTCTCTGAAGGACTGGGACTACTTGCTGGGCACGGGGACAGATCCCTCCGTGGCAGCTCAGAGCTCTGTGCTCTGGGAGGAGGGAGGAGGCAGGTCCAGCAGTGGGTGTTTATTTTGGTGGGGAGGGGGGAGGATTCCCCAGGGTTCTAAAAGGAAGGAAATGAAGCTTCACCCAGCGTAAGTTTGCTGTGGCACGTAATGATTCAGCACCTCTGTCTCTTTTTTGGTGTTCCCAGGTGACTCAGCAGTAGAGAATCCGCCTGCCAATGCAGGAGACACAGATTCAAGCCCTGGGTCAGGAAGATCCCCTGGAGGAGGAAATGGCAATCCACTGCAGTATTCTTACCTGGAAAATTCCGTGGACAGAGGAGCCTGGTGGGGCTGCAGTCCATGGACTCTTAATGAGTCGGACGTGACTGAGCTACTAACATGATACCAAAAAAAAAGGATCTTTCTTGGGTCCACTTATCTGACTCTCTTCCAATGCCTGCCAACCTGGAGGTCTTCTCAGGCTGAGCGCTCAGATGGGCTGCTGCCCCATGTTCTGGAAAGAAGCCAGGAGCCATGGAGGAGAAGCTGTGGGGATTGAAACTGGGACCAGAGAGAGGATGGTCAAGAGCGCGTGGCCCCTTCCTCATAGAGGGAACGGCCTTGAAAAACCATCCACAGGTCTAGAAACCCAAATCACTCAAGAGGAAGGACCATGATGCCCTGATTTTGGCTCACTGGCTCTCACTGTTAGTCTCTCAGTAGTGTCCGACTCGTTGCGACCCCATGAGCTGTAGCCCACCAGGTTCCTCTGTCCATGAAATTCTCCAGGCAAGAATAGTGAAGTGGGTTTTGCCATGCCCTTCTCCAGGGGATCTTCCTGACCCAGGGATTGAACCTGGGTCTCCTACACTGCAGGCAGATTCTTTACCATCTGAGCCACCAGGGAAGCCCAATCTCTCGCTGCTTTCCTTCAGAACATTCTGGGCTCTCCTCTTGTTGCATATGGAGGAATTGGGGAATCAGTATTGCATTCCTAGGAGCCCCTCTGAGAGGCTGTAACAGATAGATCATGCCCTTACATCATCCTTAATCTACTGGGTGTGTCATTTCATCACCACTGAATCAGAGACCTGCCTCCAACAAGCCAGAAGGGCATGAGTTTACCCACCACCCTCACCAGTCGGGGCAGACCCACCCCCAGGACACAAGGTATTCTTCTGGAACATAGGCCTGGCATCCATCTCTTTTCTGGAACCACCCACAGCAATTTGGGCCAGAACCCAAAAAATCAGAATCATTCCAAGCACCAGTGAAAGATTTTTCTTATACTGAGCTGAGTAAAACACCTCCAAACAATGTGTGGGCACTTGTTTTTTATGGACAGTGTGCTATGGGCTTATGGGACATCACCAATGGAGCATAAAGGAAAGTTAGTTCCTTTTTTTTTTTTTTTAAGTCTATGATTTATTTTTTCAAGAGACTGAAAGACTTTGGACAACGAATCCATTAAAAACCTTCATATAAACAGGATTTGGACAATTAAATACTATGGCAATCATCCTTTCTGCTGAGTGGATTCATAGCTCTGAGCCTCAAGTAAAATATTATTTAATCAAGAGTGACCAGTAAAGAAAAGTGAATCATTGCATACCAAGTCCATTTTCATGTCATAATGCAGCTTTCCTAACACTTGTCAGATTCACTGTTGGTTTTGCCAATGGTGTTTCTGTTTTAGTGGATAAAGTTCTCAATTAGCATAGGAGAGAGAAGTCGGGCAAACCTCCCCAAGCAATGACAGGTCCAGAATGGAAATCAGTCCCATTTTAAAATACAATAGTCCTTTGCATTCCCTTTACAAGCGGGCTTCCTTTCTAGTCAAAAGCTCTTCCTCCTAACAAATCAAAGATCAGTCTGTGAATGACCCCCTGAGAAATGAAACCCTCTGAGAAGTGGCTGGACAGTGCTCTGAACTGCCCCCACCAAGAGTTTCAGGGTCTGGGCACATGTCCTTCCAATGCCAGGTTTTGACACATGAGTATGTTGCAAAATGAATGTAGTGGTTTGTAACTAGCATTTTGAAAAATATAAAGTAACAAAGAATGAAAATTTTAAAGCCAGGTTATTGCAGATAGGAAGGGAAACTGCCGATCCATGAAATTTGGTGTCACACATGCGCCCATGTACATGTGTGTGTGTGTGTGTGTGTGTGTGTGTGTAATAATGTAAAATGGTGCTTTTACAATGGGTCACTGACAGAGAACTTGGAAAAACATTGTTCTGGTTTGCTGTCATAGGGAGAGGTCACCTTATGCAATGATTCCTGTAAGTCATACACTTGAAGTTAAAATAATACCCCAACAACAAATGGAGAAGGAAATGGCAACCCACTCCAATATTCTTGCCTGAAGAATCCCATGGACAGAGGAGCCTGGCAGGCCATGGTCCTTGGGGTTGCACGAGTCGGACACAACCGAGCGACTAAACCACCACCACCAACAAAAATAACAAAAACAGTAAAGGTGGTAGGTGCGTGGTGGGCAGGCGGTGGTGGGGGGTGTGTGGTCACGGAGGTCAGGGCTGGCTGCTTTCCCGGGGTTAAATTCCTGGAGATGTACCTTCAGCCAGAGAAACAGCAGCGTCTCGGGGGCAGCTCCCACAGCCTGGGCAGGGGAGGCCCGCTTCACCATCGGGGAGGACGTTCATGGCTGGGGAGCAGGGGTGGTGAGCACACATCTGCCCGCTTGCCTTGGGGCTGGTGAGCGGGCTGTTGGGTGCTGGTTGCTGGTATTGCCGGGGAGGCATGGCCGGGCATTTGAGAGCCTCGTCCGTGGAGTCAGGCAGCCTCAGGCTCTGCCACTGCTGGCTCTGCCACTTACTAGCCCTTGGGCAAGACGCTTCAGACCTCTCTAAGCCTCAGTTTCCTCATCTGGAGAATGGAGATGAAAATACTGACTTTATTGCTGTGAGGGTTGAGTGGAGGATCAGGCAGCAGGATGCATGTTGGTTCCCTCCAGCTACCTTGCCTGCTATAGCTCCCACCTGCCGCTGGGGGGCAGGACGGACCGTCTGGTGGGGGAGGACCCTCTTATTACCTGGTGGAGGGCTTGGTGGAAGGGGCAGGAATGGAGGTGGGGGTGAGGAAGTGGTCCCGAGGAGGCCCAGGGCAGTGAGGAGGTGGCTGAGGTGGCCCCCTACCTCCAGCTGGGAGTTGCTTCCTCCTGCGTGAACAGCAGTCCTGCTGCAGTGACTTCCCTGTGACATTCCACACCCCATCCACCCCCGGCCCCAGGGTTCCCACGTCACCACCAGACCCTGGTCTCCTGCCTCGGTCCAAGGCTGGAGACGGCGGCCGTCATCTCAGCAGAGCGTCCCTCCCTGGACGTCCAGGCCATAGACCCGTCCCCTCACTCACGTCCGCCTCTGTCCTCCAGGCAGCAGGGCATCGCAGCCTCGGGCCCCAGCTCTCTGAGTAACCAGAGCTGTGATCTCCTGCAGGTGGAAGACATCACCGCCAGCCATGAGACTGCGCTCCTAGAGATGGAGAACAGCCACACACTCACCCTCGCGATCCTGCAGGATGACCACGAGCACAAGGTCCAAGGTAGCTGACTTTGGGGGTGTGTGTGTGGGGGGTGTGTGTGTGTGTTGTGTGGTGTGGTGTGCGTGTATGTCTTTGTGGTATAGTGTGTGTGTGGGGGTGTGGTGTGGTGTGCATGTATGTCTGTGGTGTGTGTGGGTGTGTTGGGTGTGTGTGTGGTGTGGTGTGGTGTGTGGGGTGTGTGTATGTGGGGGTATGTGTGGTGTGGTGTGGTGTGCATGTATGTCTGTGTGTGGTGTGTGTGTGGGGTTGTGGTGTGGTATGTGTGTGGGGGTGTAGTGTGGTGTGCGTGTATGTCTGTGTGTGGTGTAGTGTATTAGTGTATGTGTGGGGGTGTGTGTGGTGTGTGTGATGTGGTGTGTGTCTGTGTGGTGTGTGTGTGTGGGGGGGGTGTATGTCTGTGTGGTGTGTGTGGGGGGGTGTGTATGTCTGTGTGGTGTGGTTTGTGTTTGGGGGGTTGTGGGTATGTGGTGGGGTGTGTGGTGTGTGTGGGGGGGTGTGCGTGTATGTCTATGTGTGTGGTGTGTGTCTGTGTGGTGTGTGTGTGTGGGGGGGGTGTATGTCTGTGTGTTGTGGTGTGTGTGTGTGTATGTGTGTGTGTGTGTGTGGGGCCAGCAGGGCGGGGAGTGTGCACCCCCTTCTCCCGCTGCAGACACAAGGGACCTCCCTTCACCTCTCCCTCCTCTATCCTTTCTTCCTTCCTCTTCATCCTGGTACGTCCTTTGTGTTGCTCCTTGTGTTAAGAAAAGACTGAAATCCAGGGCCTGGGTAACTTCTTTCCTCTGAAGCTGATCCTCTCAACCCTGAAGACTAGACCCCCCAAGGAGCCGTGGTCCCACCCCAGGGTGTGGAGTGGCTGGTCTGGGGTACAGCCTCAACTTGTTAAAGCTCGAAGGTGATTCCAGTGGGCGGCCACGCTTAAGAGCCACCGTTTTCAAGTAGGTGTAGAAATCCTGGGCTGTGTCTTGTGTGTGGTCTTACGGTGGCCAGGACCACGCCAGCCTCTGCTGGGGCCTGGCTGTCCACACCTTGCGCTCAGACCACATTCACCATGGGCAGAAGTGGACTCAGGATCCTGCTTTTTTACGTTTTTTTGTATCTTTGAATTGTCTTTGGGACCTAGGATTTTATTGGGTTGGCCAGAAAGTTCCTTTGGTATTTCTGTACAATGTCACAGAAAAATCCAAAGCAACTTTTTGGCCAACCCAATAAGTTGGTCATAACAACAGTGACAATGTTTACTAAGTAGAGCTGAGATTTTTGACTCTGTGAAAGAAACCTTTTACATGTTCACGTACATATACATTACTATCTGTAATTTTTTTTTTCAGTTTCCCTTCTCCTTACTTTTTTCCCTCTCAAGTCAGCTGGTTGCTAAAGTAGATGGAAAATAATTAACATAAGAATAGATTAATACATTTTTTTTAAATGCCAGAATTTTCTAATGTGTAATTTTTGTAGTTGTGAAGGCCTCTATTAGCAATATAGAACCAAAACACAGTAATAAAAAGGCTGATACATTCAACTAAATAAAAATTGTCATAAAAACAACTTCAAAAGGCAGACTACAAATTAGAAAATATTTTCTGCATCTATACTGCAAAGGACAAATTCTCTTAATATATCAGTTCAGTTCAGTCGCTCAGTCATGTCCGACTCTTTGCGACCCCATGGACTGCAGCATGCCAGGCCTCCCTTTCCATCTCCAGCTCCCGGAGTTTACTCAAACACATGTCCATTGAGTCGGTGATGCCATCCAACCATCTCATCCTCTGTTGTCCCCTTCTTCTCCCGTCTTCAGTCTTTCCCAGCATCAGGGTCTTTTCCAGTGAGTCAGTTCTTTGCATCAGGTGGCCAAATGGGAGAGGGGTTCAGGATGGGGAACACATGTACACGTGTGGCTTATTCATGGCAATGTATGACAAAAACCACCACAATATTGTAAAGTAATTAGCCTCCAATTAAAATAAATAAATTAATTAAAAATTAAAGATGCTTGCTTCTTGCAGGAAAAGTTATGACCAATCTAGACAGCATATTAAAAAGCAGAGACATTACTTTGCCAACAAAGATCCGTCTAGTCAAAGCTATGGTTTTTCCAGTAGTCATGTATGGATGTGAGAGTTGGACTATAAAGAAAGTTGAGCACCAAAGAATTGATGCTTTTGAAGAAGCAGTGTTCATGTGGTTGCCCCCTCAAGCTCTAGCCCCACCACCTCTGGGAACTCTTGGTGCATGGAAGAGTCCACGCTGGAGGCAAGGAGAGGAGTATGGGATAGGAATTTCCTGAGAACCAATTAAATGTGTTACCTGTGTCCTGAGAGCACATCTCAAGCTTAGAGTACCAGTTCCCATCCTTGGATGAACATTGGAACCACCTGGTTTTTTTAAAAAAATACTGATGTGTAGATCCCATTACAGATGTTCCAATTCGATTGTTCTGGGGACGAAGCCCAGACATTGGGGTTTGTTTTTTTTTAAAGCTGCCTAGGTGATTTTAATATGTAGAAAAATTTGAGAATCACTTAGAGCATCATGTTAAGTATGGGATGGAGTGCCATGACCTCGAGAATAATGAAGTATATCATGGGTACAGAGATAGTTGCCATGGTTTATGCTGTCTCCAGGATAGATGCTGACTTTAATTTGCTGGTGAAGTACTGAGATCTGAAAATGTCCTAAAGCCCATCACCGCGCTGTAGGAAAATGGTCTCAGAAGAGGGGACAGGAATGGAAATGTTACATTGAGCATTGCCTTTTGTTTTTGGATTTTCATGTAAACAGACCTGGTAGATTTTTATGATTAATGAGGTCTCACCTAGACACCACATCCAGGGCCTTTGAATTATATAAAATGTGCAGACAATGCAGGCATATGTAACAGTAACTAAAATATTCATTATTATGGATGATGCTCTCAGTGGCTATTAACAGTAATCATTTAGACAGAGCAGGTAGACCAGAAGGCCACATGGTTTTATGGCAATGAACTAACCATACTTTTTTTTTTTCTTCCAAATGTAAATTTCAGCTCTAACAACTGGATTTCTTAGAGAGCTTCACCATCATTAGTTAAAAAATCTGGGTCGATGGGAACCACAGAATTTTTCCTAATTGCAGCTCATGCCAGCCAGGGAGATAATTATTGGTCTCCAGTACTCTCCTGTGCTAAGCATATGATACAGGCTGATTAATGAGACCTTTCTTCCCTCCAGTTATAACATGAAAACAAATTGCTTCTGTAGCTAGATTGAGACGGGCTTCATCCAGCTAATAAGACCATTCCCATCTGGAGAAAAATAGAATCCATTTGCTTAATAATTCTTACATGACATCTCTTCTGCCTAACTTGCAAAGTGGAATGACACTTTTCACAGAATAGAATGGTTCCAAACCCTCCAAGAGGATTACATTCAGTGGGTCCTTCCTTCTGCCTGAATGTCTCAACGTTGACTGTCTGCTCAAGCAAACCCTAGCAATCTGTGGTTTCCAGAGTGTGGTCCAGAAGCCACCAAGGTGACCTTGCAGGCACCATCACTGGTCTTTCACCTGTCCATTCTCCAGCAAGCCCACACACTGCCCTCCTTGGAAGGCTCCCTCCTTCAGCCTAAAATTGCTGCTTTGTAGTGAAAAGGAAAAGTGATCCTGGGAGGGAAGAAAGTGGAGATTTAACATTAATCACCCACTGGTTTTACCATCAGGAAGAGCTGGAGAATCAATGAGTGTTGTGAATGGAGAAGCTGACTTGGCTAGGGTGGTGGTCGAGCTGCGTGTAAAGGGAATGTGTGTGTAGGTGGCTCTGTTTGCTTCCCTCCTTCCTTTCTGTCCTCTTCCTTTCACTCTTTCTTCTTTTTCCCTCCTATCCTCTCTCCCTCTCTCCTAAACAACATCACATATGACTTCAAACTAATGGAGAGGCTTAAGTCTGCTATATACTGGTGTCCTCTAGTCACTTCTGTCACCAGTCTGCATCTGGCAAAAGAATCTTGTTTGATCCCTTTTCAAAAGGAAGATCAGCTTAACAATTTGATGTCTCCTCTGCAGAACTGATATCGACCCACGAGCTTGAAAAGAAAGAATTGGAAGAAAACTTTGAAAAGCTGCGGCTGTCATTACAGGTTAGTATTTCCTAACTCTGACTTTAATGGCAGCAGAGATTTGTTCCTGTCCACAGACATTTATGTGGCACCAGCTGTGTATTGGATCCTGCACTAAGCAGTGGAATATGGGGGATAAATGAGACCTAAATCCCTGCCCTTAAGGAGTTTTCTGTCTCTTCAAAGCTCGTCCTTGCACAGAATAGATAATACCATTAGTGCCATGGACTGCTCCCACGTGCTGTGGTCAGAGCCATGTTTAGGGGAGGGGGAGGATTGGGGGCAGAGCATTTTAGGCAGGGGGAATGGGGTAAGGAGAGTCACGCAGGGTAGAAGACACAACAGATGTTCTGGGAATTGTTAAAGCGACTTCGATCCCCTGGAGACAAAAGCTTCTTGCTTTGGGGCATCCCACTTCCAACCTACACAAAGCGTGGGTCTCAGGTGCCAGGGGCGCTACCTGGCTTCCTTCTGACCTCGAGGGGAGACTGACAGGCCTCTCAGATCACTTGCCTGCCTCTCCCTCCAGCCTGCCAGAGATGCCCCCCGACCCCCTGACCAACTGCTTCTGTGAAAAGCTGCTGACTGGTCCCCAGGCCTAGGGAGGGGCTCTTTGAGAAGCCAGGGAGAGGTTGGTGGCCCTGCCTCTGTTAGCAGCTGTGGGTGTCCCAGTCCTGGAAAGATTACCTTTGAAACAGGGACGCTCACATTTGGAGGTTTGGAAGGCAAAGGCCATAACTCAAATAGAAAGGCGGGAATTTTGCTTTTGGATGGCTCACTTTCCCTAGGCAGTGCTTCTTGCACAGTGTCCGCCCTGCCAAGTGGAGAGTCTATGATTATGGAGTGTCACACTATTCAGTGGACTCTGCAAAAAATTTCAAATGGGAAGCTGCTTGCTGCATACCCACCCCTGATCCATCGATCCATCAGTGGGCCTGCATATGTCCCCATACCCCTCATGTGGCTTATCCTTGGCAGGTTAACCCCAAAGTGCCTTCTTTGTGTACCCTACATTCCAGGCTGTGCTAAGTCGCTTCAGTTGTGTCTAGCTCTTTATGACCCTATGAACTATAGCCTGCCAGACTCCTCTATCCATGGGACTCTCCAGGCAAGAATACTGGAGTGGGTTGCCTTGTCCCTCTCCAGGGGATCTTCCCCACCCAGGGATCAAACCCACGTCTCTTACCACTGCATTAGCAGGTGGGTTCTTTACCACTAGCACCACCTGGGAAGCCATTCCACACCACCCAGATACATTACCCTTAGGAACACAAACCAGGAATGTAACAGCCATGCTGTAATGTATCAAAAACCCACAATAGTCCAAAACCAAAAGAGAGTTTTGTTTCATCGGTGAGTCTTCACTTTGCCACTGACCCCACACAGTCATGAACTGTGCACATTTTAGTGGTGACTCACTGGCAGAATCCATTTGTGCTGGAGACTTTCAGGTACCAGGTGGGTGCAGTTGCTTAAACCAATTTCCTTGGGCTACTGGCTGCTAGAGAAACAGGTTTGGGGTAAGAGATTTCAGTTTGGGGCTTAAATCCCACTGTATCTCCTCTTAATAGATTTTAAATCATGGACAGTTACATAAGCTGTAAACATTCATTTACTCGTCTGTAAAATGGGGATAATACCAGTTCCTTCCTCAAGATACAAGCAGCTTAAGGAAAATAAATGTGTGTCAATTAAGAAAACTAATCAATAGTCAATCTAAGAAAGAAATGAAGAATTTTATTCAAGCCAACCTGAGGAGGAGAACCCAGGAGACAGTCTTCATGTGGAATACAGTCATATACAATGGAATACTATTCGGCCATGAAAAAGAATGAATTTTGCCACTTGTAGCAACATGGATGGACTTGAAGGGTGTTATGCTAAAAGTGAAATAAGTCAGGCAGAGGAGGACAAATACTGTATGATATCACTTAGATGTGGAATCTAAAAAACACAACAAATTAGTGAATATAACCAAAAAAAAGAGACAGAGTCTTAGGTATAAAGAACAAGTTAGTGGTTAGCAGTGGTGGGGAGGGGCCACATGGAGACAGGGAGACAGGATATAAGACAGTCTCAAGGATGTATTGTACAACATGGGGAGTATGGTCAATATCTTGTAATAATTGTAAAATGGAAAGTAATCTTTCAAAATTGTGTCTAAATTTTTTTTTAATTTAAACAAAGACAGAAATCCCTGAGACTGTCCCACCTGTTATAGGTCAATGCACAGTTGTATCAATTTTTGAAATAAAAGGTCTATCATCAAAGTAGTGTCAGTGTACACAGTCCAACAGGGTGAGTAGCAGGTCATTATGACACCTTAAAGGATTGAGAAAGGAATCTTATCTCCTAAGGAGTTACCTTGCTGGCACCTGAAAAATTTGCTTTTTTTGGTGGGGGGGGGGGCCTGATGAGCAGGCATTCCTGTGTCTTCTAAGCGGATCTAATTAATGTATAATGCAGGCACACAATGCACAGTGAAGAGGGGTAGTGGCCCAGATGGGCAGAGAGGGCATTTTATGTTTAAACTTTTTCTGGTCCTGCCTTAAAAATAAATATATTTCATCATGTGTAACATGTATAGAGCACTAGGCAACAGCTACTGCTTTAAAGTAGTCCGAGGCATTGTCCCGTTTATCATCATCATTATGGTACCATAGTAATGACGTAGGAGGCAGAATCCCCAGGACCTGTCGTCACCGTGTTCAGTGGGGTTGGTGGGAGGGCAGGGGTGTGTTCAGGGCTCGGGCAGAGCAAGGAGTCAGGGTCAGTTTGACAGCTTCCAGCTTGAACTTTACGAATACAGAGAGTTCTTCTTTGAGATGGATTAATTGTCCTTCTTGAAGTCTGGGCCGGGGGTGCGGCTAGAGGCCAGACTAGACACCTCTCTGCTGATGGTCTGCCTCTGTGAGGTTGGTTATTGAATTACTAAATGCCCCCCTCACTGCAGGCTTCTTGTTGGGGCAGAAGCGAGGATGGCATTCCCATCTCAGAATCAGGTCGCCTGCTTTGGACACCTCCCAACCCCCGCATTTTCTGTGCGGCAGCAACATTACCTGTCAGCGTCTTCTGGTCCGTTCTGGACAAGACACCAAGGCGGGGAAACCGTGGGCATTTGGGGGCCTCTCTCCCGGTGTGCGATGCTCTTTTGGTGGGACCTGGTTGGGGCCCTCTGACCTCACCGCCCCGTGAGGAGCAACCCGGGCAGGGGGCGCCTCCCAGGGGCTGTGTCTGCGAGGACCGAGCTGGATGTCTCATGCGTTACCTGCAGGACCAAGTGGACACGCTGACCTTCCAGAGCCAGTCTTTGCGGGACCGAGCCCGGCGCTTCGAGGAGGCTCTGAGGAAAAACACGGAGGAGCAGCTGGAGGTACCATGAGCCCTCGGCCTCCCAGCACCCTGCAAGCCTGGGGCTCCCCCAACATCACCCCAAAGACAGAGCTCCTGTGCTGATCTGACTCCAGAGTGACAGCGGTCAGGGCCTGCCAGGATTTTAAACACACATCCATGGGCACCTGTCCTAAGTCAGGACGGCTGTGGGTTCTCCATCTGAGTGTTATTCTTTCCGCACTTCACAGGGCTCCCCAGACACTGTCCACGAGCCCCTGGGACAAGCTGGACCTGGAAATGCCTCTGCCTGTACCCTCACCCCCACCCCAACACCCTATTCCTTCCCAACCCCAACTCCACAGAGAGGCATTGCTAAAGGTTGAAGGTTTCTTTTTCCAGAAACCCTGGCAAAATTCCTTCCCTCTATGTAGGATTGCCAGGTGAAATCCATGATACCCAATGAAATGTGAGATACACACAAATGAGTTTTTAAAATACGTATCCTACAGTACAAAAAAGTTTATGTGATATTCAGACTTAATTGAACATCCTGTCATTTTACTTGTCACATCTGGCAGACTTACGCTAACAGTTCTTTTTCTACAATGCCTTTTTAAACTACTTTGCTCATTTCCTATGTAGGGTGCGGAGGGGGCAGGGCTGTCCGTGGGCACAGGTAGGGACCTGTGTCAGTCTTCACCTGTGTGTTGAACCAAGTAGCCTGGGCGAATGTTAAAGGCCAATGTTGAATTTAGTGTTTTTGCCCACCAAGTTCCCTTTAGGGGCTGGGCTGGTGGAATCCGGCCACCCCGGTATCTGACATTTCAGGGACCAATGGCCTCCCCTCTCCTGCTCCCCACGGAGCTGTATTTTTAGTCTCGCTCCCAGTGGAAACACCTGGCGTCTTTATCAGGGAGGACTGTGAGCGTTCTCGCCCTCCCGCCCCCTCGCTCTTGTTCTCTGTTAAGCTTGTTAACAGAGACTAGATTTCACTGCGTTCATGACGCTGGTGAATGCTGGGCTTTGCCAAGGTGCCTGGGAAACAGCTCCTTGCTCTCTGCCCCTGCAGATTGCCTTGGCTCCTTATCAGCACTTGGAAGAAGACATGAAGAGTCTGAAGCAGGTGTTGGAGATGAAGAATCAACAGATACATCAGCAGGAAAAGAAGATTCTTGAGCTGGAAAAGCTGGTGAGTCACCTGTAACCCTGGGAGGCCCCCATAACTGGTGTGATATTCCCGATGCCCTCATGGGTGAAAGGATTAACAGCATTTGGGGGAGCATCTGGCCCTTAGCTGTCCATGGCTTGCAGCTGAGCAGAAAAGATCACAGATGAGGCTCCAAGCCTTGTTTTGGGATCAAGGAGGAGTTCAAGAATCTCAGAGGTGGCCTCGTTTGTACAAATCTGGAGCCCATCTGAGTCCCTGTCTACACCGACATCCATCACTGTGAGCTGCTGACTCCTCCCCTGGGAGGGGAGCCTGCATCTGGGGAGCATCGCTGATGGGTACCAGGCACCGTGCAGACACTTTGTGTCTGTCTGTCTGATAATTCTGACAGCAATCCACTGAGTGGGATTCCATCGTCAGGAGTCTCCTTTTACAGATGCAGAGATGGAGGCTTAGGAAAAGGTCTTGTGTCACCCAGAGCCAGTAAGTGCCCCAGCCCAGGCAGGAACCCTGAGCCAGAGCTCCAGGCCCTGGCTTCCACCAGGTGGAAGCCTCACCCTTCAGTCTGGCTCCTGAAAAACTAGCAAAGGATGCGCCTTTGGGGGAATAGAACGCTCAGAGTTCACTGCCAGACCCTGTGGGTGCAAGGGTTGCAGCTGAGATAGTAGTCCAAAGTTAGCAGCAGGGAGGCCTGCCTCCAAAAAGATACTATCTTGATGGGAAGGTTGGCCCAAGGGACTCAGATAGAGTCATTTGTTTTCTTCTTATCATTATATTTAAATTTTTGATACTATAGAAGGAAAATATGTGCGTTATAGGTAATTACAAGATAAAAACAAGGAGATTAAAATGCCATATTTCTACCACTGTTAACACTTTCTGGAGGCTTTCCTCCATACAAGTGTACACACCCCAATATACAGCACGTGTGTGCACACACATGCACGTGCACACACACACACGCATGTGCACACACACAGGCATGTGTGCACGCACACACCAGAGTTTTGCATCCTGCTTCTTTTCAGTTAGCACATCTTCAACTCAGCATCTCAGTAGCTGATCATCTCCTCTAACTTTTAAAGTTCTCTGCATGTCTTGGAAATGTCCTGGCAGCTGGTTTATCCAAACCAGGAGCTGGCCCCAGACCACCTGTTGCATTCAATCATCACGTCCGCTCTCCTGATCTAGCATCATCCCTCTCTAGGCGTCTCTAGCTGCATGGATGCTTGTCTGTTAGGATGGGAGCAGACAGGGCTGTGAGTGCCCATTACAGCATCCTGGATGAGGCTGGCCTCCTGGGACGTTCCAGCAGCTCAGCTTTCCAGCTAGGCCAGAGCTAAGGCCGGTGGGGACAGCTGAGGTGGACAGAGCCCTCCTCCTCCAGGCTGGGCTATCTGCGTCCTTATCTGGTCAACCAGCAACCTCTGGGTTTATCCGGCTGTTTTTAGCCCTGCTCTAGGCAGTCTGTGGGCATGCAAGAGTTCTCATTCCAGAAACCTTTCCAGGCAGGGGTGGGGGTGGGGAGAGTTGATTGAATCACTTCCCATTTCCTAGGAGGGCTTCTTTGGTGGCTCAGATGGTAAAGAATCTGCCTGCAACACGGGACACCCACGTTACATCCCCTGGGTCTGGAAAGATCCCCTGGAGAAGGAAATGGCAACCCACTCCAGTATTCTTCCCTGGGGAATCCCATGGAAAGAGGAGCCTGGTGGGCTGTGGTACACAGGTTCGAAAAGAGTTGGACACAACTGAAGCAACCTAGCACACACATGCACAGTGAATTACATATACACAATTTATGTGTGTATCTGTATTGGATTCCTGTGTAGAATACACTTCTCATAGGAGTGAGTGTCTCCATGCCCCTACCATTGTCATAGACAAGCCATGAGCACCCCCAGGGTCCAGTGTGGCTGGTGGGTCCCCTGGTTCTCCCTGCATTGGCACCTCTGGCAGCACCTGTACACACAGCACGACATTGTGAATTAATGGAGGGATGAAAATATCAATAATGTGGACACACTTTCCCTCCTGAGGCTCTGGGCAGCCAGGAACGTGCAGCTCAAGCCCAGCTTGGCAAATGAACAGAAAATAACACCCTTCTCCGTGGTGGTTATTCCTTTGAGACTTAATGCCCACTCTCTGTCCGTGTGTCCCCGCAGCCTGAGACCTAGCTGAAGTCGAGCTCCATTCTAAGATGAACTGAGAAATTCTTTTTTGAAAAGACTGTGAAGAACTCCCGTGTAGGGTAGTTAAGGAAAACCACCACCTCTCCGTGAGTCAGGCTGAGGCATCAGAGTGGAAGGACTGGGCTCTAGCCAGCTCTTCAGCAAGGTTCCCACACCCGCCTCATCTTTGTTCTCAGGAAAGGCATGCATGCTAAGTTGCTTCAGTTGTGTCCAAGTCTTTGCGACCCCATGGACTATAGCCCACCAGGCTCCTCTGTCCATGGGTTTCTCCAGGCAAGAATACTGGAGTGGCTTGCCATTTCCTTCTCCAGTAGATCTTTTGGACCCAGGAATCGAACCCAGGTCTCCTACATTGCAGGCAGGTTCTTTACCACTAGCACCACCTGGGAAGCCCCATAATTCACAATATATACTAATATATACACACAGACATATTATATACCTACATATATATAAGAAAGATATATATATATATATATATATATAAATGGTACTTTTACAGTACACTCTGGTATTTTTTTATTGTTTTCCTTTGTTTAAAAAAGCAATGCTGGTCATGTCCCTCTAGCCTGGTTTTATAGCCGATGCACTGCAAACTGCAGTTTGAAAAACAGTTTTAGATAATCCTCCAAAGCCCAGAAGCCAAGGGCACTGGTCTGCCATCTCTCCCAGGGCCTGGCTGGGGAGCTCTTGACACTGCATCTTTTATAGGCAGAAAAGAACATTATCCTGGAAGAGAAGATCCAAGTTCTCCAGCAGCAGAATGAAGACCTCAAGGCCAGGATCGACCAGAACACCGTGGTCACGAGGTAGGTGGGCCTGGGCGATGGAGCCTCCAAAGCGCGCATCCCTGACAGAATGGCTTTGCTCCTGACCTTGGAGGGCTCTACTTTTGTCCTCGCTCCTCGGAGCCCCAGGGCTTCCCCACGCAGGCTCTCAGGGCTCCCCACGTGGAGGAAAGCATAGAACACACAGCTCTGAGCGCCCAGCCATGCCCTGGCTCCACAGAGCACCCTCCTTGATGGAAAGGAGTGGGGTGGGCTAAAGTGTGTGGCACAGCTGGCAGGGGCAGGCGTGGTGGGGATCGTGGAAGAGGTTTTGGAAGGGCTGCCCGCTGGGAGTTCCAGGCTAAAGAGAACAGCCATGTGAGCCAGCCAACCCTGGGCTCCAGCAGTGGGGCCCTCGACTGCTGCCCCGGCGCTAGGCCAACGGCAGAGGGGAGCTGCCTCAGCCAGAGGGCAGCAGGGAGGGGCCGGGCCGTGCAGCTGCTTCTATCTCGGTGCTCCTAACCTGCTCCGAGGCTCCGACTTCCAGGAAGGGCGGGGCGGCAACTCGGCTGCAGTGATGACAAAGGCATAAAACACATCGGGTTCCTTTCTACTTGGCGTCCATCAGCCGCAAACATCCGCGGAGCATCTGTTACGGGCCGGGCCCCAGGCTGGGTGCCGAGCACTGGAGGAGGGACCGCTCTGGCCCCGTCCTCCAGGGCTCCAGCTCCAGCAGGCGACCAGATCCACTGCCCAGAAGGTCTCAGCGTGAGCCGACTGCTGCCAGGGAGACCCAGGGCGAGGGCAGGCTGCGGAGGCCGACAGCACCACCACCGATTTCCCGGGGGTATCCTTACCATCACCGCCTCTTATGTCTGCGCCGCTCAGCGCCCCCCACACCAAGCCCCTCTGCCTCTTCCCTCAGGCCTGCAGCTTCTGCTCTGTCCGCTGGCCACCAGCGCCTCCCGACCCGGGGCAGAGGTCCCCTGACCCGGAGCAGAGGTCCCCTGACCCGGGGCAGAGGGACTGTGGGCGAAACCAGGTGTTGGCAGAGAGGCTCCGAGAGAGGATTGTGTGGGTGGGATAGGTGGCGATCACGTTTCAACCCCCCCGGGGTTTGGTCCCTGTGGTCCACAGGCACCCACCACCCACCCCATTCTCTGTGCGCCCCTGGGCCTGGCCGACCCCAGGCTCGGGGTCTTGCTCTGCCATCGCTGCTCTGACTGCTGTTTGTTCTCCCCACCATGCAGACAGCTGTCGGAGGAGAACGCCAACCTCCAGGAATACGTGGAGAAAGAAACGCAGGAGAAGAAGAGATTGAGCCGAACCAACGAAGAGCTGCTGTGGAAGCTCCAAACCGGGGACCCGACCAGCCCCATTAAACTGTCCCCCACATCCCCCGTGTATCGCAGCTCCTCCTCCGGGCCCTCCTCTCCCGCCAGAGTCAGCATGACGCCCAGATGACGCCACCACGCTGCGGGCCGAGCTGCGGCGCCCGGTCCACGAGGGCTCCCACCTGCGGGGAGTGGTGACCGCCACGGGCCGGCCCGCCTGGCCCCGCGCGCATGCCCAGTCGCTGCGTCGCGGCCTTCCGTGCGCGCATGCCCAGTCGTTGCATAGCCGCATCCCAGGCCGAGCCCTCTTCTAACCCTCGTATGTAGGACTGTCCCAGGACGGGCACTTAGGAACGTGTAAGCGGTAGTGTCTCATGTGCAAACGTTCGGCCGTAGTCAGAGCCAAAAGAAGGAAATGCCAGTTGTCCTTGAGCAATGAACTTTCACTGCAGAATTTCAGGTTAGTTAACAGCTCAGTTTTGACTATCCATTGAATAATCCTTGTGTACTGCACCGGATATGTGTGTATATTTAGATACACGTATATACACATGCAGCGGTTCTGAATTGCATTTTTTATAACATTAAGTGCTGACGTATTTTGGTGACGGTCAGCAGTTTTCTAACTCGTGCCTAAGAATTATTGGGAAATGAAAATGCATTTCTATCTACCTTCCCAGGAATATTTCTACCCAAAATAGAAAAAGGAAAAAAAAAAAAATACAGAGAAGAAGCGCCTTTCGACCTACCACCACGTGGTACTCTGTTTAACACAAACACCAGCCATTCGTGAACAGTAACTACCTTTGAAACAATCAGCTTCTTAGTCACCATGACGTGAGATCACTATTACTCCATCCGCAGATTTTATTACTAACATTCCTGTCCTGAGTGGATAAGGGGCAGCAGTGAGAAACCCTGAGGGGGATGAGCAGTTTTGCAGATTTTAACTCATGACCAGTGGATCGCCTATAGTCTTGTAAACACAAGTTTTGCTTTTTTTCCTAAATGGCATCTTGCAATCCATCATTCGGCTATTGCATCCTTGGGAAAATATGGAAGCACATGACCTTAGACAATGAGGGTCAGAATGACCTTGGAGTTGGCCAGGACTGTTCATGCTCCATCTTCAAGAAGGAAAACTGCTCATAGGGTCTGTATTCTGACTAAGCGTAGAGTAGAAGAGTGTCCTCTGGCATCCTGTTTGATGTGATGCTATCAATTGTCAATCCACCAAAATATGACCTTCAGCCCTATTTCATTGCCCCCCCCTTCAGTTAGGTTCTGTAACCCAACCTCATTCTAGTACATTGAGCAGCTCAGGGGTTCTAGCAGGGGCTTCCAGAAAACCAGTTCTTCTGTCCTGGGGGGACCAGTTCCTGGTTGTGCTAGATCATTGCATAACCTCCCAGAAACCCAGGTGTCTTTTTCTGCTGAGAGAGGTCCCATCTTTGGCCCAGGAGGTTCTTCCACAGAGAGGAGCCCCAGGAAACAGCCAGTCAGTGGTCACAGGCTTCTGGCCTGGCATTTGTCTCCTAAATGGATTAGAATGGGAAAGAGATTCCTGTAGTGCTGTGGACCATTAGAAGCATAAGACACAAAGGAAAGTAGTTTCAGCCATTTATACAGTGATGATAATGATGTCTTTGTTTACTGTTTGTGACGAAGACCCTGTACTTTTCTCCCCAAGGGCCCTCAAAGTGGTCCTGAGCACAAGACTGATTCTGAGCAAACCCGAGATAGGCAGACTTATGTAGATACACTTTGTGGGGCCAGAGTCACAGAGCAGGAAAGAAACGGCTCAAGAAAGGGGTCCCCAGGCCCAGAGCCCCTGCCTGCTCATGGCATATATGGCCGGCATGAAGACAGACCTGGTCTGTGTTGGGCTTCCTGGCCTCACATACATCTCAGTCCTAGCAAACCTCCAGGTCTCTGCCCATCCTGGGGACACAGACAGGAGATACCCAGTGAAGAAACATTTTTCCATTTAGTGGGTCTGCATGACGCTGTGATGTTGAGTTGGACATCCCGTTAGAGTAGATGATGCCACATTGACTAAAATACACGAATATGTTTTCTTTTAGCAGGCACCACCTGCAGACACAGTAGCTCAGCCCTCCGAACTAGGAACTGCTTCCATAAGTGCACCTGCTAAATGCAGTCACACAGCAATACAGACGTCAGTGTTACGTTAGAATGTGGTCCGGTGTGTTAGCCTGTTTCAGTCACAGTTGTAGTGGTGTTAGATCCAAGTAATCCCCCACTAGGTGACTAGAGCGTGGCTCTAACCATCCCTGACCTTGGGTACCCAAGCTAATTCCCACAATGCCCTGGCTTCCTTTCCTTGTCATGGACGCCCATCATATGTGGCTCCTATCCCCAAACTTGAGGGGCAGCAGTGCCCCCCCTTCACCTCTCCCTTCCCCTCCCCAACACTGTTAGGACTTGGACCTCTGTCTCTCTGGTGTCCACCTCCCAGGCTGGAGCTGTTTCCACAGAGAAATGCTACAGCCTCCCCACCTGTCTTGGACAAACCCACCCAATCTCACCAACCTCTCCTTGGGGTGTGGGATGCTGTTGGTGCCCGGCCCACCCCCAGCCCACCACACGCCCTGCGAGGTTCCAGCTGGGTGTCGGAGCAGCGGATGGGCCATGGAGCCGGCATACTTGGTGACCATCTGAAGGGGGTCACTCGTTCCTTTTCAGGCCCCTGCGGTTTCTGTGTTGCATTATTTGTGTTTGAAGCATATTAAAATGAACTTGAGGGACCTTCTGTGATATGCACTTGATGTGACCGTTGGCCTGGCCCCCCTTGGGCTTCAGGAGGTCAGGAGGGGACAGGGAGGCCCGAAGCCAGGTTCCTTCTGTGTGTGCGCCAGGGTCAGCTGGTCGTCACTGAGTCTTGAGACCCTTCCGCCCCGACTCTGCCCCAGCTTAGCAGGGTCCCTGTGCCCAGCTTGTAGCCCGGGACTTGAAGCAGACTTCCCCCTGAGCTTTGGGGGCTCGGTGGCTCTGCTCCTGTCTTGAGGTGGCCAGGTTGGACCAGAGGCCTTTGGAAAAAGGACACAAGAGATCAAGTACAAGCCCCTCACCGTCAACTTCAAATTCAGATGCCGACCTGACTTTCTGCCCCAAGTGGGCTTGGTCACTTTGTATCTGGGTGGTCACAGAGTTCTCTTCTCAAGAGTGGCCAGGAGGCCACTGGCTTCTAGCACGGGGGCCGTGGTCACAGCACTTCTTTGTCATGTGCTTTCTCATGCCCGCGGGGTTCACAGGACCCTGAAAAGCACTGAGCCAGGACATTCCTTTAACCTGGAAGCATTCGCCCCCTCCCACCCCCTTAATACGGGCTTTCTGGCTGGTCTGCAGCCAGTTGGCAGGGGCACCAGGGGCCACAGGGAGACTCCAGTCTGTTCTCCCAGGCCGCTGCTGACCAGGAGCCCCTTGGCAGGTGATAAAGGCCCCTGAGTTACTCTGGACCCGCCAACACCATCCCAGGACCCCCTGGGTCACCCATGCCTCCAGATATTGGTGACGGCTACCAATTAATGATTTACTCATCAACACATCCCAACCTGTTCATGTCTTTTGGCGCCTCCTGCCACCCACTTTAATCAGAACCACCCTGCATTATCCTCCCCGCCCCCCCACGCATCAGTACTGTCACTTAGCAAAGGGACGCTGGCGCCTGGCCCAGGGCCCCGCGGAGGAACCGAAGGTGGACTGGGCTCCTAGCAATGGAGAACCGTGTCCCCCACGGTTGCCAGGCAGCAGTCGAGAGACCTTCGAAGTCAACCACTCAATCCCCGCTCTGTGGTCTCTGGGAGTCCACGGCAGCTCCCCCACTGCCTGTGAGGCAGGGAGGAGTGAGGAGGGTGAGGCTCCCCTGCTGATGGAGGTGAAGGCTGTTATGCTGTGGATGCATCTGAGAACAAACCCAGCAGTGGGGCCAGGGGTGTTGGGTGGGGGGTTGCTTGACGGGACAGCCTCCCTGTCAAGCAAGAGGCAGGGCCTTGCCCATGGTAGGGGAGGGGGTGGTGAATCTGGGTCAAATGCTTAAAAAAGTGAACATCGCCAGAGGCTAGAGCTAATTCACTTAAGTTTGCTAAATACCTTTAAAATTTTTTTTCCCTTTGGAACCAGTCTGCTTCTCTGGAACTTCTCTATAAACAAAAGCAGGACACCTGGGGTGTCTTGACCTACCAGCTCGGTTTTCTGCCCCCCTCAGCGTGGGGGATGAACAGGTGAATTTGCCCCCCTTACCGTGTCTGGGTTTCCCAGCGCCAGCATCACGGGGATAGAGTGCCATCTAAGTGGGCCCCTCCCCTCCCTGCAGGGCCCCGCCTCCCCACAGACGCGCCAGCCCATGGGCTTAGCTGCTGCTGATCGGTTTCACTGCACCCAAATCTGAGCAGCACAGCACATCAGCAGGCGCTCAGGAAGCAACCGCAGGGATTCGGGGAGTAAAAGTGTCAAAAGTCCGACCCATACCTTCTCTCTACCTGCCACTGCCCCCTGCCACACCCCCACCCCCTCGCAGTCCCAGATGCGTGTTGAGAAGTAGGCCAGAGAGGGCTGCATCAGCAGACACACTGCCTGCCTTATTCCCTAAGCCTTGCTCACATCGCATTTGTGGCTTGGTGGACAAACTTAGATGGCAAAATGAAAAGATGCCCCTTTGCAGGGGGTGCACAGGGGTACCCCCTGATAAGGGTCCCCGCCCTCCAGGCCACCTGGTGACTGAGCAGTCCTGAAGGAATCCACGTGATTCCTCCCCACCGCGGAGGCCGGGCTGTCGGGGGCAGCCTCTGACTCACCAGGCGAGCTTCGTCACCAAACGGTGAGCTCCAGGTGACTGCCCAACCGCCGGCCTCCGGACAGGAGTGGCTTCAGAGACCTGTATTGGGGTTTCCCGGGAGACCGCCAGGAGCCGGGCGGGGGTCCTCCAGACGCCGGGCTCTAGGTGGCAGCGTGGCGCCAAGGCACCGGCCTCTCTGGGCTGAGGGGGGATCCACGCGTGGACCCGGCCGGGTCACCCCCAGGTCCGGGAGGCAAGTAGGGGCGCCCCGCCTGCCTGAGCGCGTTCCCACCATCCAGCCCGGGTGAGTGGCGCGCCGCGTGGCCCACGGGTGGCCCTTGGTTGCTTGATGATGGTCCGCGGAGGCAGGGCGGGGCCTGCAGCAGCAGCCCCCTACCCTCCTCTTAGTGCGGAAAAGTCACTCCGCATCCTCCTGGTGGGGTCACACTGTGCCTCGAGGTCTGAGAATTGGAGCCACTTGACTGAACGCACCTCCAGTGCAGGAAGACGCCTCCTTTCTGAAGTGGGGCCGGGGGTGGGGGGTGGTGGTGAGCCTCGAGGGTTGTAACAGCCACACCCCCGGCCTTCCACCCCTGTCCTGCGAGCACCCCATCCCAGAGGACGGGTGTGTATGGGGAGGTGGAGGGCAATACGAGGCCAAGGGGTTCTGGGCACAGGTTAGGGGGTGGGGGTGGTGGTTGCTGCACTTGATGTCACGTCGTCATGCAGACAGCAGCTTCATCCCCCACCATCCAGTTGGCGAGAAGACCTCTGGGCCCCAAACCCGAGGCGATCTGGGAAGAGCGGGCGGTTGGGGAGATGATCCAGGGGTCCCCCTGGCTGCGGATTCCCGTCTCCCGCCCCCACCCCGAGCTGCAAGGCAAAGCAACATCCGGCTGATATTCAAGAAGCAAAGACCAGGCTCTGGGACTCTCCGAGCCACACCCCCCAACCCCTCATCACCCTTCCCACAGCTGCCGGAATTCCTAAGACGCACTGGGCACGCCCAGGCCGTAGATAGGAGTTTATTAGGATTTGCGGAAGCATGACGGGATGTACCAACAAAGTTTGACTTTACAACATTAACTATTATGGCATCAGTGTACCAGCAAAACTGGGATACAGAGCACAGGTTCACATTTTTTAAAGGCAATGGACAACGTCTACTCTTGTCCTTAAAGTAAAAACGGGGGGTGGGGGGTGGGGGACTTCAAGGGGACCAGCAAAGGCCAATCTGATTTGCAGTTAGCTGTCAGAATCTAAATCTAGTATTACAATTATAAGAAACTATAAGAAAACTATTAGAAAAATAGAACATCAAACGAGCAAAAAAATATTACACAATTTACATAATAAAAAACACAATCCTCTTAATAATGGCTCCATGTTCAGTAGAAGAAAAAGTACACTGGAGAACCCACACACCTTCAGGTTTGACAATAAACCAACCCTCGTGGAGATTGTCACCCATTTGTGCTCCTTAGACTTATCCACGCTTAAAGGCACAACGTAAGCAGGAAACTTATCTTAAATACATATTATAAACTTCTCCAATGGGAAAATAAGTCTCAAACTTAAAAAGTTTGTCATCAAGAAACACAACATCATATATACCTTGTTAATAATTTAACAAGGCCTGAATGCCTTCTTCCTAGCCATGCTCCCTGACCCTGAGAAATCTCATTTGGACTTCAAGCTGAGGTCTCACGGCGGAGTGTTCAGCCAGCAGTTCGACACGTTGACAGGGTGGTCCTGGGGGAGGGGGGCTCCTGAGAACTGCGCCCCGAGACCCCTGGCTGGTCCACTCCCTCTTGAAAGAGCACTGCCGCCCAGTGAAGCAATGGGCACAGAAAGACTGGATCGTAGTGATGAACAGGAAGGTCAGTTGACTTTTTTTTCTTTTTTGCCTTAACCACCCATTAGGCATCATAACTACGATGATGAGATACGGAGTGTTTGTAGCTTCTTGCACCACTGGATCAATAAAGCATTTCATCACCCAAAAAAGTCCACAAGAGTCTGATAAACTGTACATCTCGCTCCCGCTAAGGAGCCTTACATAACAATACTCTCATTACCAAGGCAGACAGATAGTAGTATATTTTAAATTATACATAAAATTATACACAACACATATTTAGTTCCATCTGAAGTTGAACTCACACACCTGCGTGGACATGCCACAGCCCCGCCTCTCCGTCCATCCTTGCACACTGGGGTGACGGGCCGGCATGAAGCCGCTCCCTCTGGTCTCCATGGGGGTGTTCTCAGGGGTCAACAGAAAAAGTGGCTCTTACTCATGGTGTCAAAGTGGGGTGTCCACCCCTGGCATGGGGCCAGGCCTCTTCTCTGCAGCAGCGAGGCCGCCAAGTACCCGCGGGCTCACCTGCAACCAGGAGAGGCCTTTACGAGCTGTGTCCACACATCCTGTGCTGACGGATCTGCTTCCAATGTCAGGTTAGTCGCCATCCTAGGCAGGACCCAGTCAGCTCACCGTGCCCGCCTGGCAGTGGGGGTGGCGGGGAGGAGACCTGGCCCAGCCTGGGTTCCCATTCGCTCCCCTCCTCACCCCATGCATGGAACAGCAAACACAAGCGCAAGGCTCCTGCTGCGCTTGCAGCCCTGCTGGGTGAGAAGAGATGTGACCAAGGGGCAGAAGGGAGTGACGGGGCCCTGGGGGGCTCAGGGTGGGCGGAGGAGCCCCCACAGGGCTGTAGTCAACCTGGGGTGTCCAAAATCCAAGGGACGAGGTGGTCGATCACTTGATGGAGACTGAGGGGCTCAACGGAACAAAACCCAAAGTGGGGGAGATGCAAGTGATGCTGACATTGTATCAACTGAGCAGCAGTCTCCCGACCATGGCTCTATCACACCTGCTCTGGGTTTCTAAAAACTCACCTGGCCCAAAATCAGGGGGGGAGGTGCAGGCAGCGGGGGCATGGGGGCCATGCAGGGTCCTGACTGCCCCCGAAAGGTCCCATCCCCGCCCAGGGGCTCACGTCTCCCCCGCCCACGGGCCCGGCTGATTCTCCAGAGACACTGCGCCCCTCACTCTCCCACAGAGGGCCCAGGGGACCGCAGGTGGGTTTTCACAAGGTCACGCGTGTGCAGGGAGGGGCCCACGAGTGGTGGGAAGGGGCAGTTCCTTCCCACAAGCAGGTCTTTCCAATGCGAGTGTTTGAGGCTGGTGCCCAGGGAACCGAGGACACAACATCCCCAGGGGGTGTCTCTGGACAATAACAGCCAAGTCATGAAACTGAGTCTGGGCAGGGCTGAGATGTGAAACTGTCGGGCAATTCCAGTGGTTATTTTCTGCCTGCGTGTGTGTATTTGTGTGTGCATGTTATGTCTCTGTGTGTACATGTGTTATATCTGTATGTGTGTGTATATGTGTATGTGTTATATCTGTGTATATACATATGTGTGTTGTCTGTGTGTATACATGTGTGTATGTGTCTACGTGTTATGTCTGTGTGTATGTATGTTATACCTGTGTATATACATGTGTTGTGTGTATACACATGTGTATCTGTGTCTGTGTGTGTACGTGTGTTATGTCTGTGTGTATCTCGTCTCTGTGTGTATGTATGTGTCCATCTTAGGCGCAGGAAGGCGGGCGGTGATAACAATGTCTCCCATCCCTGGGTGGGGATGGAACTTTTAGGGGGCAATCAGGCCCCTGCCCGGCTCCCACCCACCCCTGCCTACACCTCCTCCCCTGATTTTGGGCCAGGTGACTTTTTACGAACCCAGAGCGGGTGTGATAGAGCCAGGGTCTGCAGACGCCGCTCAGTCTCCTGGCAGCATGGCCCCACACAGAAAAGAAAAGCAACGGTATGAAAACCTCTCTTCACAAAAGCACAGGTCACTGAACCCCATCCAACGACCCAGGGATCCTTTCCTCAGATGGGGCTCTGACCCGGCATGGAGGGTGGGGGCCTCTGATACCAATGGGCGGGCCCTGCGGCACAGCCCCTTGGCTCCAGGTGAGGCAGGGGACCATCTGTCATGATGGGCCCGCCCGTGAGATGCTTAGACACACCTTCTCGGCCGGAGGACGAGGAGTGTAGCTGGCTCAAGTGTCAGCTGTGCACAGTCTGCTGGGGGCGGTCAGGCTCAGAAATTTCAGCCGGAAATAAAAAAGTGAGAGAAACTCTACCCGCCACCTTTCCTGGACACACTTGTTCCTTCACACTCTCCGCCTCGGTGGAGAAACAGCAGACAACTAGAGCAGACAGGTGGCTGGCAGGCCCCAGGAAGCAAGCAGACAACCAAAACACCTCAACGAAATAAGTTAAGATTCATCAAAATATGGTACAGCACCAGCTACATAAACCTAAACACCTTTCTTTGGAAACCCAAGCTTCGGGCTCTCGTCCCCACTTTGCAAGATTCGCAAGTGAGATTGTGAATAAAGTTACCATGAGTGACCAGAGGGGACGATGGAGCCTGCAACTGGGGCTAGGCCCTCGCCCACCCGGGCCAACCCTGCTTCACTCATTCTTGCTTTTTTTTTTTCCTCCAAGAACTTTCTGGGGCAGAGGGAGAAAAGCCAAGAGCCATCAGTTTATCAGGCTTCTTTCTACCAGATTTGTGTCAAAGGGCAGAGGGGGAAGATAATGGGAGCTAAGCTTCACAAGCAGCATTTACATTTTGTGTGGAGTCAGAAATGCCAGCCCCCTCACCTCCTACCAAAGCAGGCCCTTCCATCCCCCAACTCCACTCTTGGGAAGGAAGGCACGGCCCACCTGCAAGGAGTGTCCCTGGGGCCTTGGCAGGGCGCGCCATGTGCACAAGGACACGCGGTCATTACGAAGGCAAGGGTCCCCGCGGCATCCAACGACACTCACAGAGCACACGAGCGGGACAGCACAGGACCCCACACTGCCCCGCCGCGGGCAGACCCCCACACCCTGAACAATTCAGGGAACGACTCGGCCATTTTCCACATCACCATCATCGCCGGCTGGATTGCATGGCGACTCACAGCCAAGGACAGGAGGACTCTGTGTGACGATCAGACGCACAAGGGGCCAGAGGCAGCTGGGGGGCAAGGGGGGGCCGTGCGTCACTCAGGACGAGCAGACACTGGCCTGGGGAACCTTGAGACCCATGAGCAGCAGAGGGGGCAGGACCCCGCGAGGAGCTGGGACCAGGGGGAGCGCTCAGCTAAGCTCCGCTCTTTTGAGGCAGGTCCTACAGAAATAGTGTCACGTTCCAGTTACTCAGGACTCGGCCAAAGCAGCAGCGGGGACCTGCTGGAGGGCCGGTGGCTGCAGGAGGCTGGCGGGGGGGAGCCTGGTCCCCTGGCAGGAGTGTGCAGAGTGCGGGCCAAGGCCCCTGCCTGGAGGGAGGGGGCGGTCACAGTCCGGCGACCCTCCGGAGGCAGCTCAGAGGGCAGAGCAGGAGGAGATGGTCTGGTCTTCCTCTCTCAGTAAACTAAACTGCTGGGCCAGGGCATGGGCACAGCCAAGGGACAGACACCCAGCACCGGGGCGGCTGTCTGGGGCTGGGCCAAGGCGGGGACGGGACCCGACAAGGCGCCCCCGGGATAGAGGCCTGGGCTCCCGAGGTGACCTCCATTCTGCCCAAGGCCGTGGCAGCCGGGGTGCCGGACGGGCGAGGAGAGGGGCTGCCGTCCTTGTCTGGGAGGAGGCTCGGAGGCAGGCGGTGGCCAGTCCCAGCCCCGGCCACGTGGCCCCACCAAGAGCTGGCAGGGGGTCGGGGCCGCGGGCCGCACGTGGGCTGCGCTGGGCTCCGGGCACGCGGGCTGGGTGGGGTGGTGGTGCGAGGTGCTGCGGGGGTCTCTCGGGGGCAGGACCATGCGTCACTTGCAATGATCCAAGTGACCGTCAGGAGTCCTTGTGGGGTCGGCGGCCAGGGTCGCCTCCTCGCTGTGCCAGAGACCGTAGCCGAAGTAGATGAAGAAGCCTGCGGGTCGAGGGCAGAGACAGGGTGTGAGTCCGGGAGGCGGCCCCAGGGTCAGGATCTCATGAGAGGCAGGTGGCCTGCCCCCCAGGTAAGCCCACATGACTTCCGGCAGGGTCACCTCTACGCCTGGCAAAGGAAGGCGCATCTTTCTGGGCAGCCTTGCGCCTGGCAAGCCACTGGGTGAGACCCCTGGAGGGGCGCTGGTGCCTCTGCCTCATCCACTGCCCACCTGGCGGGGCGGCTGCCCTGTGTCCGCTGGAGGGGGCCAAGACAGACTCTCCAGAAGTTGCACTGGGTTTCCAAGGGCACTAGGGCTCCCTGGGCTCCTCAGGCTGTCTGTTATAGCTCCTGATTTTCCCACGAGTGGCTTAGACCCTCAGGTCACGTGGGAATTCATGCAACCCACCAATTCAGTCATTCTGCTGTTTCAGGGGCCCCTATGGGTCTGTGGTGGGACCCGGAGAACTGTGCCTGTAACTACCGCCCCCCACCACTGACCACCTTTGTGCCAGTGACAAGGGAGAACAGTCCTGGAGCCCAGGAACTTGTGGAGGGTGCTCAAAAGCAGGCATCCCCCACCTCTGCAGGGAGGCAGGGAGCTACCCTCCCTACCCCTCAGTCACTGGGGCAGGGGGGTTTGGCCACAACTCAGCCTAAAGGCCACTGCTCTCATCAGGGGTACAGCCCGCTCAGGCCAGTCTCCCAGCGACCAACACTACAGAAGGAACCTGGGTCCATTTCTGCACCTCGGGCTGCTAGAGGCCCGCAGAGGGGCCATGGTCGGTGCAAAATGGGGCCAGGCCCCAAGGGGGAACCTCTAGTTCTCCCACAGGTCTAGCCAGTCCCTACAGCCCAGGGGGCTGTCCAGACAGTGCAGTCTGGGGTGAAGAAGGTGGTGCTCTGTCAACAGCAGACTCACGGGCTGATTCTTCGAACATCAAGCTCTTTCCTGAACAGATAACTGGTTCAGGCCAAGGCTTTACAATTATCTACGAGGGAGGGAGGACCCACAGCCTACCAGGTGTTCCTCACTGTCAGAGAGAAAACCGCTGACTACACGTGTTTTCACTGTGTTTTGAAATCGGAAACGGGGGTAGCTGGAGGACGCAAGCCAGCCGGCCAGTAGCAGAGAAGACAACAAGCTGCTGGGCACGGGCGGGGAAGGGGCCGAGTGGGTGAGTGGGGGGCCTGAGAGAGGCTGGGACAACCACGTGCTGGTCACCTCGAAACCCATGCCTCACATACCGATCAGCATCCACACAGCAAACCGGACCCACGTGCCCTGGTCCAGCTGCATCATGAGATAGACGTTCACGAAGATGCTCAGGACGGGAAGGACCGGCAAGAAGGGCACCTGCGGGGACGGGCGGCAAACGTGAGACGGCAGAGCCACCCGAGGGGAGCGCCCTCCCAGGCCTGATCTGGACAGGCGGGGCTGTGTGGGGAGGGGCTGAGTGCCAGGCCCCACCCCAGCACCCCCATCTCCTCAGCACCCACAACACAGCCCCACAGGCAAACCCTCGCAGGTGGGAGTTTGCTCTGAGCGACACTAATTGCCACAGTGAACTCGCGTCTCACTTCTGAGCTTGCTGAACGATCTTGTTATTAGTAGACTCTAAGCCTACAGAGGCCCCGGTCATCTCCGAGGCCTGGTAATGACACACGATCCACCAGGGCAGACATTTACTTATGAAAAGCTTACAGGATGCAGGGGCACTGCCCCACCCAAGGGCCAGGGGCCGGCCTTTCTCAGCAGCACTGTCTGTGCCTGGCTCACATGCCCCTGAGTTTGGCCAACAAGCACCTCACTCCGCACGCCCAGGCCTGCTGGAGCCCAGAGGGGTAGGGTGGTCTCCTGCAGGACAGTCAGGATCATGGCCTCCCGGGGGTGGGTCCCTCCAGCTGTCAGGCTGAGCTGTTTACCTTGAATGAGAGCTTGGTCTTGCTCTCGGGCTGCCGCCAGATGATGGCCGTGACCACGGAGCAGAGGAAGGCAGAGCCCATGAGTAGAAAGACTGCCCACAACTCCCCCTTCACCAGGGCGTCCTTGCCAAGCACAGCTGCCATGCAGAAGGTGATGACCAGAAGTGCTAAGAGGGACAGACAGAGAAAACTGCACTTCAGTCATTCCCCAGGATCCCACAGACAAATCAGTTCTTCCCAAAACCCCAGAAGGGCTGGGCTCCATCTCTGCAAGCACCAATCCCAATTAGGGCAGAATAACTGACATCACGGTCCCCCTGGGGATAAGCAAGACCCCAAACACTGCACAGGGAAGGGCAGGTTCTTACCTAGGAGGCTGGTTGAGATGTTCACGATTAGCCCGGAGAATTTGGAAGGCTCTGTATTTTTTGGTGAGAGTACAGTTTTCAAAGAAAGCCTCTCTGTTTCCGGTAAAAAGCCCGTCTGAGAATCGCTGCTGCTCACCAACTCATTCTGGTCAACTGGTTCGAGCTCATCGCTAGTCCTGGCCATCTGGTATACCATGTTGGGCTGCTCGGGCTGATACCTGTGAGGCAGCATATTGTTTAGCCATCTGATGAGGCTTTAACTCAGCACAAGTACACACACTCTAACTGATGTTCTTAGTAAGCCTTCAAAGCTGCCTAGGACACAAGACATAAAAAGGGAAGATGGTCAGAATGATAAAACACTTCAGTTGTATCCAACTCTTTGCAACTCCGTGGACTGCAGTCCACCAGGCTCCTCTGTCCATGGGATTCTCTAGGCAAGAATACTGGAGTGGGTTGCCGGGTCCTCCTCCAGGGGATCTTCCCAACTCAGGGATCAAACCCGCATCTCTTAAGTCTCCTGCATTGGCAGGCAGGTTCTTTACCACTAACTTTCCGCAAATACAAACAGAGGAGACCTGAGCCTCACTCCTGCCTCAGGGCAACATCCTCTTCCTTTTATGTCTCTGTTTTGAGGCAACTTGACCTCCACCATGAAACAGCCCAGAGGAAGGTACGGAGACCATTTCTCTCACTCTGAAAAGCAGCACTGGCCCTTAAGATATGAGGCCACTCACAACAAAACTATGGTTGTAGGAAGCTAAAATACAGACAGAAATAGAAAGCAATCATATTAGGATCCTATTCCGTGCAGAGTCAGAGAAACGTGTCTGCAGGCTGATGAATTTGAGAAATTCTGTTTGCATGATTTAATTGGATCAATTTATTTAAAAACTCTAAGTGCCTTGGAATAAATAACTCTCTAAAGCTGGGTGAAGGACCAAGCCTCTGGCATGATTTCCAAGACACAAGCCACCTGCAAGTGAAGCATTCATTTTAAATGAGGCAGTTATCTTCCCAGCCAAAAGGAACAGAGCTCCAATCTCCTCCACCAGCTTTGAAACACGCAGTGCTTTACGCATTATTCTGCATATAATCTAAGAGTGAGTATGAAGATACTTCACCATTTTTTTTTTTCACTGACTCACTTAAGAAGGTTGGGGGAGACTCGGAGAAGATTGTAGCACTGAGCTCTTGGGAAGAAACACATGGTCGGAAACACTAGCTCTAGCTGATTTTCCAGAGCCACTACTGAGGCTCAGCCCAGGGACAGTAGCTGCAGAGCATGTTATGGATGGAATCCATGGCTTGGCAAGATGGAAGCCCTGCAAAGTAGGGGGCCTCTCACCAGGAGACCACATTGGGTGGCTATGCTACCTGGGGTCACCCCTGGAAGCAAGGAAGCAGAGCCCTGTCTCCCGGAGCAAAGGAAAACTGGGGCAGGGTGAGCTTGGAGGGACGGGCACCGTGGCAGCCAAGAGCCCCGGCCCGGATCTGCTGTGTCACGGCCCTTCACGGGGCCGGCCCCGTCTGGACAAGACTCAAAGCAGAACCTGGAGAGTCTTCCTGCACATCACCCCCGGCCCTCCAGGCTCTGTAACAGCACTCTCACCTCCATGGAAGCATCACAGTGTCCCCAGTTCTCCCAGTGCCCACCAGGGCCAGTCCCTAGTCTCCGGTCCAAACTGAGATCATTACCCTCAGCCTTCAAAAATTCTAATCCAAAGATCCAGCCCCCAGCCGTCAAGTTGCTCTGTCCTCCAGACATCCAGCCAGAAAAGCCAGAGCATGTGAGAGAGACAGAGCAGTCAAGCCACCCACCCTGGACTTCTTTCAAGGCTATTCTCTGTAACTAGATTTTCAAGCACCAGGTCCCACCCTCTCCCAGGCAGTTCCCAAAGGAACGATCCACAGCCTCAAGTTTACAGCGTATAAACCATTAACACGAACTGGTAGCAGGAAGCTGGCAGGGGGCGTCTGCTCTTATGTCCTGGAACCCGGAAAGCCACACCTACCGCAAGACCAAGACGCAGGCAGCCACGAGAGAGTAAGCCAGGAGAGTGCCGATGGACATGAGGTCCACCAGGTCCTTCAGGTCGAAGAGGAAGGCCATCACCGCTGGGGAGGAGGAGACGAACATTAGGACAGGTGTGGGTCCGAACACACTGGCAGCCAGGGCCACCACCCACCCGTGACCCAGGGCACCCGGGAGGGCCTTCCCTTCCCCCTGCCAGCCCTTTCCATGAAGAAACACAGCAGCACTGCTTAAAAGGAAGGAAAGCTCGGGACTAAACCACATACACAGCTCCCAACAGACAGCAACAATAAATAACATTTATATAGAGAGAGCACTTTTATCAGCATGACCCTGTTGACCACCATGGCAATTCTGCCAGCCATTCCTACACTACAGATGGAGAAAGCAAAGTCCAGACACCCTAAGGAAGGGCACACAGCTAATAAGTGGAAAAGTCAGGCACTGAGCTAGGTTCTTATGGCTCTGGGGCAGTATGTCTTCCTCTACACTATGCAGACTCACAGAGTCTGCATCTATGCATATCTATCCATCCACCCATACACTACCCATCCACCATCCATCCATCATCCTTCCGTCATTCACTCATCAACGGCACTCATGAGCATGCCAGTCACTGGGTGCTAGGTATGTGCCACTGAACAGGGTAGACTAAAGAGTCCTTTGGTCTTCCCAAGAATACCACCTGAGGCCTGCATCAGGAGGCAAAAATGAGGAGGAGGTGAGTGAGGGCAAGTCCCGGGCCCTGGGAGGGCTCACAGAGGCTCCTAACCCAGAAGGTGGGCGTGGAAAGTGATGTTATTCCCAAACAATACCAGTCCCTTCACCACAACCCCACTTAATGCAAAGCAAAACACACAGTCTTTTTTGAAAATCACTCCTAGATTTTTTTTTTCATTCCCAGATTTTTATAAGTGTATGCACATCTATTTATGTGGGTATATGTGTCAAGTTTCCCATTTAAAAAATAACTTGGCTGGATCCACTTTGGGATATTTTCAAATCACATGCAATCAACACAAGTTGAAATATAAACGCAAAGCCATTACTTTTCCACAAATACTTCTCAAGCCCACACAAACCATGGCAACTAAAACAAATTCAAATTGAGGTTAACTAATAGAATTAAAGAGCAGCGAGGGCCTACAGAATAATTAGAAAACCCACTCTGTGTGTATCAAACGCTTACATCCTCACTCAGAGAAACCTGAGCCAAACTTCTTCCATGGGAGGTGATTTTTGGAAAACTAAAGACTTACTTATCACTCTGACTTAATAAAAAGAAAGAGCAAACCCTTGGTCTGGTGATATAAGAACTTTACAGTGGCTTTAAAGTTACAGTTTCATTTCCCTTAATCAGCACAGGAAGGAAATTAAGGCCAGGCTTCAGCATGATCACATTACATGTAAATATTCAAGAAAAAAAAAGAAAAAGAAAAAGCACCCGCTATTTCTAATTCCTTAATCCCATAAACACACTGGTCGTATACTGATACCAGGTGTCACTTAACCTGCCCACAGCGATCACACTCAAGAATGCAGACTCATACTGCACGTGTGTGAAATAAGAAAAACTGACTTCCTTTCACTAAACAACATTGATCCATAAAACTAAGCACATTTTGCTAAGGGTGTGAATTCCTTAATCCCATAAACACACTGGTCGTATACTGATACCAGGTGTCACTTAACCTGCCCACAGCGATCACACTCAAGAATGCAGACTCATACTATTACATGTAAATATTAAAAAAAAAAAGAAAAAGAAAAAGCACCCGCTATTTCTAATTCCTTAATCCCATAAACACACTGGTCGTATACTGATACAAGGTGTCGCTTAACCTGCCCACAGCGATCACACTCAAGAATGCAGACTCATACTGCACTTGTGTGAAATAAGAAAAACTGGCTTCCTTTCACTAAACAACATTGATCCATAAAACTAAGCACATTTTGCTAAGGGTGTGAATGCTATTAACAATTCACTCATTAAGAGGGTCAAATGCCTCCCCTGTGGCTATCTGACAAGTCCCTGTGATCCAACTGTGACCGGTATGTGTCCTCATTCACCACGGAGACTTCCTGCTCCCCACATGGGCTGGGAGGACCCAGCCAGTCTGGCCCCAAAACAAACCAAGATCCGAGAACCAGTGCTGTCCTCCCTGGGCGTGCATCCTCACATCCCCCTTCTGAGCCTCTGTCTCTCATCTGTACACCTACCTCTGGGCTGTGAAACACGACTCAAAGAGGAAACAGAAAACCAAGAGCGGTCTCTTTGCAGGGCTGCTCTGGCTTTCAACGTGCACACAGGCCCAAGGGTTCCCCAGCCCTCCACTCCCTTCTGCCCTCTTGGCGAGGGACCTGATATTGGTCCGTCAGAACCACCTCCTCTCGTCCTGCCGTTTGTTGTTCATGAGCTCAGGGTGGAGGGCTACCCCAGTCACACCCTCAGTGTTCCCTGGGGAACAGGTGGCATGTTTTATAAAACACTGACTGTAAGGGATTCTCGCTTCCCAGAGAATTCACGAGCTAAGACACATGGACGGTGAATTTCCAGCACTGACAAGACAGGGCATGTACCATGAAGGACTTCATCCCACCAAGGGATGGGGGGGATGAGGTCCCACTCAGGGACACCTGGGGAAGGGGAAGGACACAGCTCTGAAGGGACAGTGTACGTGCTGAGCTGAGTGCAGTGGATGGCAATCATTGAAAAACGCAACCTGTGAATTCCATCACATTCTCTGTGAAACTGGCATCTGCCTTTTGTCAAAAGGCACTCAGTTGCCTTGCGACAAACCAGACTCCAATGGTAAAAACCAAACGTTAAAATGACCAGTCACAACTTCTCTCAGACCGACACAGGCCAAGACATTTCCTTAGGGAATAATAACCCAACTGTTAAAATGCTGCATAGGAGATTCCAGTTCTTACCGGCAATGGCACCCGAGGTTAGGGTGGCGATTATTGGCGTTTTGGTCCTGTCGTTGATTTTGGCCAAAAATTTAAACAGCAGCCCATCTTCAGCCATGGCATAGATAACTCGAGGCATGGGAAACATGGAACCTAAAAGACTAGACGGGAGGAAAAGCGAACCGTGTCCATAAGAGAACTCGGGGGAATAAAGGCATCGCAACAGGTGTTCACACCAAGGAGAGGGAGCTGGCTCCAACCTGGGAAGCCCGCAGCTCAACACACCGAGCCTGGAGGAGCACTTGTAGCAAGTGTGCACATGTGTGTGAGTTGGAAACGTCTAACATAAACCAGCGTGGCATCTAGACACAGTTCTAGAGACGTTCTGTATTTATTCCTGCAATTATCTCTGGCTGAATCAAAAAGAAAAGCGTCACCGCCTTCATGAAGATCTCCCGGAGGTCCACAAATGTTTCCTGTGTTTACAGGCTAGCAGGAAGCAGGAGGGCAAAATGATTCTCATTAAAAGGTATTTGCGGCCCTTGCTCCTTTTTAATGATAACCTCTGCTTTATGGCCAAAGTAAGGGCCAGAGACAGTGCTCACCGAGGTGGCCTGGTTCAGCCAACGGCCACAGTCAGGGACAAGAGAAGCAGCCTTTGCTGAGCTGACTATGCTGAAACGTGGGCCTTGGGCTATTGAGATGAAATGTCCGTATCGCAAAGACAGGCCCAGGGACTGATCGAGAGCAGCCCAAGGGGATAAGTCCCACAATCGGGGCTGGGTTGGGCTCTACTTCAAGGGGAGAGAGGAGTGTTCACGGCACACTCGCCTTCCCGAGTATCTCCGCTCCTCACCTGGTGGACAGGGCACAGAGGGAGCCAACGGCCACTGCATACTTGGCACCCTCCCAGCCCACGTGCTTGAAGGCGTCCGGCAGGGGGCTGTTCTTGTCCAGGCAGAAGTAAGGCATCATGAGGGTGAGGGCGGCCGACACCCCGAAGTAGGCGATGAAGCAGATGAGCAGGGAAGCAACGATGCCCACAGGGATGGCCTTCTGCGGGTTCTTCACCTCCTCCCCTGCAAGCCACAAGGAATTCAGCTGGGGGCTTGAGACCACCCTGCCCCTCACGGCCCTGCAGGGCCAAGGCCCTTCCAGGCTCTGGGGAAGCCAGGGGAGAGGCCCTCAGACCACAAACCACGATACCCACGGGCCCAGGGAAGGTGCTCTCAGCCTTTGCACTGAGGATCAGCGAGGAAAAGAGAACTCGCTGGAGGCTGGGAGCTCGGCCTCCTCGAGCACCCGGATGACGGTGGACTCGGTGGCCACACTCTCCCGGAGCGTGTCAGCTGCAGCCACGGTGTCGTCACCCCGGGCCCGCCGGGGACAGGCAGGCAAGCTCCTGTCCGGCAGGCCACTTGGGGAGTGATGAAAGGGGGATTGGCAGGAAGGTGCAAATCCATACTCGGGCACTCAGGAGCCAACGGGCGGCAGCAGGCACGCACACACCCCAGGGAGGGGAATCAGATGCCTGGCCAGGTGAGGCCAGGTGTCCCGAGGGCGGTGGGCCTACCTGTGGTGGCGATGCAGTCAAAGCCCACGAAGGCGTAGAAGCAGGTCGCTGCCCCCGACAGCACGCCGGGGAACCCGAAGGGCATGAACCCACCGACACCAGGTTTCCCTTCCTTCGTGCCACTGAAAGACAGCACCACCATCAGGGTCACAGCCCCCGCTTCCTGGCTCCAAAGAGGAGCCACCCCGACAGCCACCCCGAGACCCAGCTGGGCCCGGCCCTGCAGCGTCCCCCGGCCAGCAGGACAGCGGCCCTGGGGCTGCGGGCAGATGTAACTCCAGGACCCCGCTTCCTTTGCACTGAGGGTCAGCGAGGAAAAGAGAACTCGCTGGAGGCTGGGAGCTCGGCCTCCTCGAGCACCCGGATGACGGTGGACTCGGTGGCCACACTCTCCCGGAGCACGCGTGGGGTCTGCTGTCAGCTGCAGCCACGGTGTCGTCACCCCGGGCCCACCAGGGACAGGCAGGCAAGCTCCTGTTGGGCAGGCCACTTGGGGAGTGATGAAAGGGGGATTGGCAGGAAGGTGCAAATCCATACTCGGGCACTCAAGAGCAAACGGGCGGCAGCAGGCACGCACACACCCCAGGGAGGGGAATCAGATGCCTGGCCAGGCGAGCCCAGGTGTCCCAAGGGCGGTGGGCCTACCTGTGGTGGCGATGCAGTCAAAGCCCACGAAGGCGTAGAAGCAGGTCGCTGCCCCTGACAGCACGCCGGGGAACCCGAAGGGCATGAACCCACCGACACCAGGTTTCCCTTCCTTCGTGCCACTGAAAGACAGCACCGCCGTCAGGGTCACAGCCCCCGCTTCCTGGCCCCAAAGAGGAGCCACCCCGACGGCCACCCCGAGGCCCAGCTGGGCCCGGCCCTGCAGCGTCCCCCGGCCAGCAGGACAGCGGCCCCGGGGCTGTGGGCAGATGTAACTCCAGGACCCCGTTGGTGACCGAGGGGCCGGGAAACAAATGTCTCTCTGGCCAGAGGCCCGCGCAGGTCATCACTGCAGGGACACAGAGCGTGAGGATGGCCAGTGACAGGAAATCCCATCAGCTGGCAGAAACAGTCTCTTCAAAGCAGTATGAATGCCCTGTTTCATGCATCAAACTGGGACGACCCTGAGGGATGGGATGGGGAGGGAGGTTCAGGGTGTACACATGTACACCCGTGGCTGATTCATGTCAATGTATGGCAAAAACCACTACAGTACTGCAAAGTAATTAGCCTCCAAATTAAATTAATTAATTAATTAAAAAAAAAAAAACGAAAGAAGGCTAAATCTAGACAGACAACCAGGAGACAGGAGGTGCCATCTCCGCTCAATTCTTCACTGGCTCACAGTGACCAGTGAGGGAGCCTGTGAAGCTTTCCAAGTCGATTGGGTTACTTCAAAGCTTATTTCAAATTGGCCCTACTCTGCCCTGAATGAACGGCACTGATAAATTTGGCATGAAAAGGACTCAGGAATGCTGGGGAGTGACTTATTAAAAGCTCTCAATTCTCTGCAGTCGCGTTTCGTCCCAGAAGGAAGGCTCTTTCTGTTTGAACTGCTAACCACATGATGTTAGAGCTAGTTTCGTGGGTTCGTTTCCTGTCTGTGTTCCAGTTAGTGAACCAGCTGCTGATCAGCGCCTGCCCACGGAGTAGGCCATCGGAAGACATGCCGGTCACCCGGGCCTTAATCAGAGGTCAACGCGACATGTGATCAGTCAGCTTTCCAGCCTCTCTTGCAGCTGGACGTGGCTCCCTACTGGATTCTGGCCAGGGGAATGTGGGCAGAAGGGACAGGTCTTCCAGATCTGAGCACATGGTCCTCGCACTCTAGCCCCTGATGGGAGAGCTAGGTTGTGCCTGTGCCCACCCACAGCCCAGCTCTGACCACATCATGTCCTTGTGGACGATCCGGCCCCTGAAAGCCTGCATGTGTCCACGCTGGCCAGCCACCCCCAGCTGATCATTCCTGGAGCTGAGATATCTGCATTTTAGGAGGATCTCTTCAAAGCACCAATTTAATCTTTAGCCATAATTAAAACAGAATTGTAAACAAAATCAGAACTCCCTGTTCTCCCTCCTGAGACCCTAACATGTATCAAGAAATCTGACCAAAAAAAAAAAAAAAGGAAGGTCAGAAAGATCCATTCCAACATTTGGCTTTTGTTTCCCGAAACAAGGTGAGCTTGTTGGTAAGGGCGTGCCCAGAGGCCTGCAAAGGCACAGAGTGGAGAGCCGGCCGGTCACCTGCCTCCAGCCCTAGGCATCCTGAGCCCAATATGGAAGGACGCTGAGGCCACGGCGTCTCAGGGCTGACGTGGCCCACGTGGAGTGGGAGTGAAAGAGGTTGTTTGCCATCATCGCGTTATGATAACCTCAGTTGTTCTGAGAAACTACTCTGAAGAATGACTGAGATAAAATGTTCCACTGACTTCTTTGTTCAAGGTGATCAGATAGGAAGGCATTTCAAAAGAAAGCGGCATCTGCATGGTACCACAGAGGAAAATCTTCTCTGAAAAGGAAATTCAGAGTTCGATCATCAAACAGGATACGGGGAAACGGACTGCTGAGTGAGCCCCACCACAGTCCTCACGGAGGCAGGGTTTTGGAATCAGCATCCAGAGATGCCGCCGTTTCCCCATCATCTTCCTGTGTCGTACAACCTCAGTCAAATACAAGGCAAGAAAACACAAATTTCAGACAAAGGAAACACCCTCAACTATCTGACTGCAAAAAAAAAAAAACAGTTCAGTAATGACAATATATCCTAGCTCAAATTACATTTTTTCACAAAGACTGTACTGTACTGTGCTGTGGTAGCCAAGGACCGCCCTAGCCACACCACTCCCAGGTGCCCAGAGTCAGGGGGACACCCACTTGTTCAGGCAGAGGTGACCCGACGTGTTCCGGAAGTCCTCCTCCGTGAGCTGCCAGTTTTTAATTGATCCTTTCACAAACCCCGACACCATGATGAAGCCCAGCACCAGAACGTTGACACACGTGAATATTTTGTTGACCATGGCGGACTCTTTCACACCCAGAGTTAAAAGTCCTGCAAAAGGGCATAAACAGAAATGACCTCAGTGCTGACCTCGGGCCAGCAAGTCCCTCTGGGGTGGGGGGGTGGGGGGACGAGAAGGTGACGTTAAAAGAATGTGAGCAGCGTCAAACCTCTGAAGAGGAACGAGGCTGCAGTGACTCTCATCCTACAGGCAGGCATCAAAACAACCCAAGTCTGCGGCGTGTTGACCAAAGCCAGCAGGGCTTGACGTTCAGCCACCTCGTGGAATTGAGACAATAAGCAGGAGTGCCCCGGGGTCAGACGGGCTGGGCACATCTGAGCCAGTTGCTGCCCTCAATAGCAGAGCCCTCCCTGGGATGAAGGGAGCCTCTCGCTGAACCTCAATCACCGAGAACCACCCAGTTCTCCCAGGCTGGGAGTTCCTTTCCTCCAAGGGGACACTCTGCTCAGTTTCTTGAGAGAAAAAAAGAGTTCTCCAGACATGGAATCATCCAGATACTCTGTGGGGTGTTAGCAGTGTCCACAGTGACGACCACCTGGGGGTCCTACCATGGAGTCCCCCTCCTGGGACTCAGCACACGTAGAACATCTCAGCCAGGCAGCTCTACCTCGAAAATTCGAGATAAAAAAAATACTGGGTGGAAAAAGCATGCGTGACACTATGCAAGCTGCAGGTCCGCCTTGCGGAACACAGAACACGCTTCTGTGGAGAACCTTCAGCCAGGCAAGGGAAGAGTCAGGGAAGGTGCCCAGAGACACAGGACCACGATCGGACTGGACGTCTCTTACACGTTTTACCATAAAAGATGCTCTACGTGATAGACTGGTTTCTGAAATACAGACATTACAAGGGCATGGAGCAATTCAGGGAACACTTCACACTCCGCTGTGTTTGTTCTTCAGCCTCCCTCCCTCTTGTCCTTATGAAAATCTCACTCCTGCAGACTTAATTNTTCTGAAATACAGACATTACAAGGGCATAGAGCAATTCAGGGAACACTTCACACTCCGCTGTGTTTGTTCTTCAGCCTCCCTCCCTCTTGTCCTTATGAAAATCTCACTCCTGCAGACTTAATTTCTGATCCGTGTTCCTGCCAGCTGGACCAGACATACCGCTGAGACTGGCCCTGTGCAGAACGATCTCAATTATGTGGTGTGTAAAATAAGGCATGGATGTTTTTAAAACCCATCCAAAATCTTGTAACCTCAAAAGAGAATTTATCTGCATATCCACTTACTGTGCATATTAACAAAACTCCCAGCTTGGTGGCTGAGACTAAGGTCAATGTCACTAAGACGACTAAGGCAGTCATCAGCTGTGTTCAAGCCCTGTCTGCAACTTAAAAATCCAGTGCTAGAAACTCTGTGGGGAAACTTCATTATTTAAGGGCTTGTTTTGCTAGCTGATTGGATGCAAACCACCCAAGCCATCTCCAACCCCAAAGTTCAGTGACCATTGGGCCTGGCTCCTCCATGTTGTCCTGGCTGATGAAGGCCAACTCTCCTTCCTAAATGGTCATCCGCTGAGTCAGAAGAACTCGTATTTCTGGGTCACCTGCACACAAAGCCCGCAGCCCTAACGAAATCCTACTCCACAAACACGCAAACACCTGAGAGTCTCATTTTAATTAAACAGCGCACCACTCAACCTATTCAATAGGCCAACCCTATGTGAATCTGAGAAGCCATTTTGACAAAAAAAAAAAAAGATGTCTGCATCAATTAAAGAAGACAAGAATGTGGGGGGATGGGAGAAGGAGAAAAGGAAAGAGCCTGAGCCTCAGCCCGGACTCCCGGTTCCCTCCCAATGCACCCAACGTGTGGCCGTACCTGTGAGAATGAGGATGATGATCACAGCGAATATGTCTGGGTTCTCGGCCAGCACCCCGGGCGCATGCAGGGCCATGTGCGTCCGCGAGAACTCCCCAATGGGCTTCCCAATCAGCTCGTCAAACGTTGCGCTCCAGGCCCGCGCTACGCTTGAGGTACCTGCCGAGAAACACACCATCGGATGGAAGAGAAGGCAATACTCAACACAGCGCCTGTTGTCTAGCCTGATATCTGAAGCACCCGCAGGGGCTCACAGCTCTCGGGTGCTGGGGAGCAGAGGACCCCGCAGCAGCCGCCACACCTCAGGATGTGCTGAGTCAGACGGGAGGACCGGTCAGAGTCCGCAGAGAAGCCAGATGTAGGGCCTGGGACCAGATGCATTCTCCATCACAACCAACACAAACATGTGTGTGTGTGAGTGTGTGTGTGTGTGTGTGTGTGTGTGTGTGTACCATGTGTTTTGAACCTACATGTAGCTGAATCATAGTAAAATTTAACAAAGTAACACCATCCTGAACACCAAGAGGCGCTCTGACAGTACTGAACTCTACCTATTTTATTTCACTGTAACAAGAAGTCCTGGGGACAGACCGTTCAGGGACCTCATGACTGCACCTGGGCTGCAGTAGGCAGTGGGGGCCACATTCCTCCCTGAAGACCCTCAGCAGCAGAGCTGACGGGGCTGCCTCCCGGAGGGGGCTGGGGGGCCAAGGACAGCGGCTCAGGGCTGGCCATCCCCCCAGCAGCCAAGTGGCTGGCTCCCCCCGCCCCATCCCTGCCAGAGTCAGCCATCTCTGCCGCTGTGCCAGGCCTGGGGGGACCACGGGCCCCGAGGCTTTGACCGCACAGAACATCCACAGGTGTGGAGTCCAGCACCCCCACCCCCACCCCAACGGCCACGAGCACCCAACTGTGCTTTCAATCTGAGTAACACCTGTCACTGCTTTTCCAGCAATGCTTCCCGGGAAATGCTGCTAAAGTTCCAGTCACCACAAAAGGCGTCTTCCTTTATTTTTAAAGGGTGCCTTGCTGGTGACTGTCACCTGCTAGTTTAGGAACAGCAGGAGCTTCACGCTCACCATTCTGTTTTATTTGCAGGCAAGGTCTCTGGAAACGTAAAAGCCCTTTTAAAGTAGTCGCATTCCCACCGAGAGGCTGGGCTGTCAGACTGGGTAATTTCTAATTTCCTCTTTGTGCTTTTCTGCATTTCTTAAATTTTTCTGTATCAGTGATGTATTTACTTGAGTAATCAGGAAAAAGACTGAAAGAGATGAGGTCCTTTATTTCACTAGCTACAAAAGTCTTGATTCTGCGTCTCTTTGTGGTAACAGGACTGGCCTCTTGGGGGCTGGGCTTGTCCCCACTAGGATCCCACATGCTTGATCTTTAAGAGCCAGGGCAGTGGTGCCCGCGGCAGGCCTCCACCTTGCACTAAAGGAAAAGGGAAAAGGCGGGAGGCGCCGGCCTGGGATGGGGAGCCAGACCCCTGGGGTCTGGGGAGCCAGGTTGGGGGGAGAACACCAGGAGGGAGGCGGGGCCGGGCCGTGGCTTGGAGACCTACCGATGATGTAGGACAGGATGAGGTTCCAGCCGGTGATGAAGGCCCAGAGCTCGCCCACAGTGACGTAGCTGTACAGGTAGGCCGAGCCCGTCTTGGGGACCCGCGCGCCAAACTCGCCGTAGCAGAGGCCGGCCAGCACGGAGGCCAGGGCGGCGATGAGGAAGGAGATGACGATGGCGGGGCCCGCGTCCTCCCGCGCCACGGCCCCAGCCAGTACGTACACGCCGGCCCCCAGCGTGCTGCCCACGCCCAGCGCCACCAGGTCGAACGTGTTCAGGCATCGCGACAGCCGGCTCTCCTCGCGGCTGCAGTCCACCACCTTCCTCCGAAGCATCTGCTGCCCGACGCCCATCAGTGCAGTGCACCCCATCCTGCGGCTTCTGGTCTGCTGAGGGGAGGACAGAGGCGGGAGCTTCGTTAGTGTTCTGGTCTCACCCAGGGACCCCTTCACCGCAGCAGGTGGGCCACGCGGTCCGCACTGTCACTGGCCGCTAAGGCCTCACCTCTCACGATCCCACCACCCGCGGCCAGAACACCCACCCACGGCTTCCCGGCCTCAGGCCTGATCAGCGGGAGAAACACCCAGGGGCCAACACACCCGCTGATGGGACTCCGGTCTCTTGAGCCCCCACACTAATTTCAGTTCCCAATCGAGAGCCTTCTATGGGCAGAAATAGCAGGAAGAGCACAATTAAGCCCATTGTTCCTGAGTCATACAATTCACCAGGTAAAGTAAAGCTGCTATTCTAAGGGTATGGGCTTCCCAGGTGGCTCAGAGGTAAAGAATCCGCCCACCAATGCAGGAGATAAAGTCTGATCCCTGGGTCGGGAAGAAACCCTGGAGAAGGAAATGGCAACCCACTCCAGTACTCTTGCCTGGAGAATCCCAGGGAAAGAAGAGCCTAGCGGGCTACAAGTTCATGGGGTTGCAAAGACTGAGCGACTAAACAACAACATTCCAAGTGTGTTGTTGTGGAAGGCAAACCAAACTAAATATGAATTTAACTATCAGAGCCCAGAGGCCTTCAGTGGCAGTGAAACACTTTCCAGACCTTCCCGGGGCCAAGCAGGAGCCAGGCTGTCTCCAGTTTAACAAAGAGTATGCCCAGAGCAGAAAAGCACGAACTGTCATGAGTTAGGCCGCTTGTAACTGTTGCTACTTTGGGAAGCACTTTTCCTCTGCACCAAAATGCTGGCAGAGTGCTATGTGATACAGTCCAGACGGTGCACACAGGGTCCAGTCATTGACCTTCACAGCCTTATCACTCCCTGGGGCCCACCTCCTGAACTGCATCCCTGGTCAGCATCCTCCGGGAGATGCCAGCCAATCACAGGAGAATTCGTCCTGAGGGGACGGGGCCTGCCTGGAGCTCCAAGGAGGGGGAACCAGAGCCCCTATCCTTCCAAAGAGGACAGTGTGGGAAGGGGGAAACCTGGTAGAACATCACCCCAGACAGGCGGCCAAGGTTGACATCAGTAAGTGGCAGGTTATAGTTGAGCGTATGATGTGATGAGAAAGGCCTTTACCTCGGAGAGCTTCCTCCCCAAAGCCGTAACCCCAGGCTAATCCTGAGAAACGTATCGGACAAATGACAGAAGAGGAACCTCCACGAAACACCTACGTTTCGCTCCTCGTATGTGCGTGCGTGTTCTTTCTTTCAGTTGTGCCCGAACCTCGGGTGTCATCAAGAACAAGAGAAGTCCGCAAGCTGGTGCGAGCAGGAGGAGCCTCCGGAGACAGGACACTAGCCTAGAGGATGGGATGAGGCCCCGGGATGGGAGGAGGACAGCAGGGAGGATTCAGTAAGTCTGAACAAAGCACAGACTTCAGCTGTATCCACACTGGGCGGTTGGCCATAGCCGAAATATCCCACTAGTGTTAAGATGCTAATCTCAGAGGAAACAGTGTGGGCACACAGGAACTACCTTCACGGCTTTTCTGCGAACCTAAACATGTGCAGAGATAAGCTATCACCATGACTGAGCCACTAAAAGTTCACCTTGATGACCAATTGGTATTGACTGATCTACCTAACTTAGCTGCAGTCGAGTGACCGGAAAGCATGATCGTCTAAGTGGAGACAGCAGATCTGGCAGAGTCCGTACCTAACCACCTGGAACCCCGGACTGCTCGCCCACACCCTTGTGGGCTGGTCCCCTGCCCGGCCTCAGGCCAAGCCCCCTGCGAGTCACAGAGGGACGGGTGGGGGGTCCTCTCCGTATTTTATCTGATGGGCCAAGAGAAGAGAGAAAAACAGTTTCTCAAAACTCAAAAGTTTGCAGCTAGAATGGGGAATAAACTCCTCCAGTCGGAAACCCTTCTTATAAAGATGAGGAAAAATAACGCAGAGAGCCAAGAGTCAAACGGGGTCACGAGCTCGGAAGGTGCGGGGGGGGGCAGCTCCATATCTGGGTATGGCGTTGGTTGGGGGGGCGGGTAGGAAATGATATCACCCTTGGTGAGGGGGGCGGAAGTGGGAGGAAGTGAGGGAAGATGACCTTATTAGTGGAACACCAGTGAAGCAGGAAAGTCAGGGGTCCGATAAGAGCCGAGAGGGCAGGGACGGAACAGGAGACATGACAGAGAGCGCCGGTACCCAGGATGCTTGCGGCCACTTGCTGGCCCACTGCTGGCACTCAGTTGGGAGCCCTAAGCTCTGAGGGGTCCCAGCGAGGCGGCCGTGCTGGGGGAACAGGTGCTGAGGACCCACCAGGCACCAGCGCTGTCCGGGAAGCCGGGGTGCGAGTCCTCTTGGTCCTGCCTTCTCCTTTCTTCCTTCCAGGATTTCCCTGAATTCATTCAAGCCAGACTGTGAACCACAACAAAGCCTATAATAAACCACTGCTTGGATAACAAGTTAAAAGGGAAGATGCGCCATTTCAACACCACCCTCAGCAGAAGCGCTGTGCCAGGGACGGTGGGAAAGGTGGTGAATAACTTGGCAGCATCATCTCGGGGAAAACCCAGAAGGGAAGTGGAGCCTGAGAGCGCCTGACGACCTGCCCTGCTTCTAACATGATTGGTAAATGGGACCGACATTTAGAGAGAAGAGTTACCCACTCCTGCCCTCTCCTCAGTTCAGTTCAGTTCAGTCGCTCAGTTGTGTCCGACTCTTTGTGACCCCNTCCCGGCAATCTTGATTCCAGCTTGTGCTTCTTCCAGCCCAGCATTTCTCATGATGTACTCTGCATATAAGTTAAATAGGCAGGGTGACAATACACAGCCTTGATGTACTTCTTTCCTGATTTGGAACCAGTCTGTTTTTCCATGTCCAGTTCTAACTGTTGCTTCTTGACCTGCATACAGATTTCTCAAGAGACAGGTCAGGTGGTCTGGTATTCCCAGCTCTTTTAAGAATTTTCTCCTAGATGTAGTTTTCAGTTCATACCAAATGGATTCTCTCCTCAAAATGATAAAAGCCAAGTGCAAAGCAAAGACAGTACAATTGAACAGCGTGGTCTTTCCTTGACTTCCCAGAGTAAAGTGACCCAGGAGATTAGAGAGAGCACCACTTTTCTCTGAAAGACCAGACATTCTATCCTGGGCTCTGGAAAGGGCTGGTCCACAGCCCACATGCCTTTCTCACAGGGGCTGCTGTCTGGGGAAGAAGCCAGAGCTGCCAAAGGGTCTGTGGACACCTGGCGAGGGGCATGCCGGAGGACACCTTCTGAGAGCCCGCTGACCTCACTCTAAGCCGAAATAAGCCCCCTCGGACACTGCAGCTGCAGTGAACATGCCACATGCCCCTGGTTATCCTCTCTCCATGAACCCACTTAACCAACCCTGGGGACCCAGCACCATCTTTAAAATAAAGGAGCCGGGGCACTGAGTTCTGTAAATTCGTACCCAGACACTGGACTGCAAACACACATGAAAGGGACGTTTTGGTTGAGACTCCCTGGACATGGCTGACTTCTTGTAAGTGGGGAGACAGTAGCCACCGTTTCTCAGGAAGAGTCCTGGGTCAGAGGTAAGTGCTCGGATGCAGCGAACAGGAACACAGGAGGGCTGGCTGTTTTCTCCTGGGCTGCCTCTCCAGCATACCTCTTTATCTGGGGAAAGGGCAAACCCAGTCCCCTGGAAACCACTGGGGCAGGAACGCAACCAGTTGCCGCCGAACCCCAGGGCTGAGAGTAGACAGCACAAGTGGCGTGACCAATTCTATTTTCCAAGGCGGGAGAGATCGAGATGCTCACGAACCTCACCCTGGGTTTGTTTTAAAGTAACGTCCTTTCTTTCTCCTGGGCAGTAACAGAAAAATCGTGTTCTCCGGGCAGCATCGTCTGTCGGCATTGTGCACACGTTACTCCACAACTCACGTGCATGCCCGGACTCCTGAGCTGCTCATTCAGCCAACAGCTGAAAATAAATGAAACTTCTCCATGTAAAACCAATCTAAGCCCTCCAGCCTCGCCAGTGTCAGGTTCGGACTGACTTCCTGCAGTCAGGATTTACGCAGAAAGTCCCCAGTATGCATTGAGAGCGTTATCTGGAAATTATGTTATCTGTCTCCCATGGAGAAATTTCTGCAACAGGCGAGAGCTACACTTTCATTCCAGTTTTTGACAGGAATCCTGTAACAGCAAGAGCTTTGGCTCTCTCTCACTCCCGACTCACGCAATATGAAAGACTGTCCTCTTAGAAAAGCAAAGGAAATATGTCCCTTTCCCACAGAATTTCTAACTCCAAGTTTGATTCCAGTGATCACTATATAACAGTCAGAGCAAGATGGCCCAATGGGTCCAGACTGCTGAGATAAAGACTTTAGGACGCAGTGTTGAAGGTGTCTGACAAAGGCAGGCAGGTGTGAACTGTATGATTTTTTTTTCACACAAATTTAACGACAGTCCCATCACCAAAAAAGAAGAGCTTAATGGCTTCATGGAGGGAGGGGAAGAGGTCACAGACGGAGGCTGTGATAGACATTAAGTTCATAAATTCTTTGGAGAAAGTCTTAACATTGGCATTTTATTCTTCATACATCTGCTTTTTTTTTTTTTTAAGTGGTCATCACATTTGGGAGTGGTCCCAAGCAGGCGAGTCATGTAGAGTAAACCCTGTCATTCCAGAAGGAGACAGACGCGCTGAGGTCCACAAAGGACGATGAACAGGGACGGGTGGTCCCCAGGTCCCCTCCAGCCGCGTGGGGCAGGGCTGCCCAGGAGTCCTGAAGGCTCTGGAATGCCTGCAGCTTTAATGAGGAAGGGAGCAGAGGTGAAGCCATCTCAACAGACATGGTCCAAAATGAGAGCGTTCCAGGTCACGAGCCACAGTGGAGGAGGAGAGATGCATGCAAGGAATGCAATCTGCGTTTAAGGAAGTTGTTCTCCAAGCCAGATCCACTTCCCCCAGGTGTCAGGAGGCCCAGGTGCAAGAACTTTTAA